GTCCTCCACCACTCCAGAATGCCACAGCCGGTAACTTCTACACAGTAAATACACAAGTTACAGGCCACTCACTAAGCCAGCTGTTCACAAAGGGTTTACAGGGGACCCCTGGGGTCCAAGAAGGTCTATGTGGATTTTGAAATAGTACTAACAAGTAATTTGCCTTTTCCATTCTCATTCTCTCATGAGGATACAGTAGCTTTTTAGAGGATACATGATGTATCCACAATTATGAAAACGCTATTAAAATATTCTCCCAGTTTCCAAGTAAATGTCTGTGTGAGGCCAGGTTTTCCTCATGTTTGCAACTTAAAAAAAAACAGATTGAGCATACAAGTAGATATGAGAATCCAGCTGTCTTCTATTAAGCTAAGTGTTAAAAAGATCTGCAAAATATATAAAATAATTCTAATTTTTCTTTGCTTTGGAGAATATAACTGTTTTTCACATGAATGTGTTATATTTGAGTTTATAATAAATTTAAATAAACTAATAAATATGTTTTAAAATTTCTCAGCTTCATTTCTGTTGTGGTAAATACAGCTCAGATAAGCAAAGCTCTTTTGAGGTCCTCAGTAATATTTAGAGTGCAAAAGGATCCCAAAACCAAGGAGTTTTAGGATTGCTGCTGCATTGAGCCCATGTCTGTGTGTCCTCCTGGTTGCTGCAACTTGAACTATTAGAAATGTTGTCTAAACATATCAGTTGGTCTAAGAGAATAATCACGGTCAGGGCTCCTTTTTCAAAAAGAAGCTCTACTTTTCCCTTTCCCTCCCTTCAGGTAAAAAGCGTACCATGCTGGGGAATTACGGCAGGTAAAAAGTGGAGATGCCGAGTATGTTTTCTCTCTCCCCAAAGGCCCATTGTATTCCCACCCTGCTGGAAATGCCTCTGCACCTTGCAGGGGAGGCCACAGCTGCCACTGCCCGTTTGGAACCGCTGCCCTTGCGGGCCGATCCCACGCTGAGGCAGCAGCGGGTTGGGGATTCTGATGTACAGCAGGCAGTATGTTTTGTCAGGTCCCCAACATTTTTAATTAAAGTTGTTCTGCAAATAGTTTATGTTCATTTCCCCTGGATCGTACAAATCAGTAGAGACCAGGAATTGCTGGGCTTAGGGTGGGATAACTAACCAGAAGACATAAATGAAAGTGAGGGCCTGAAATGGAGCTTGGGGGTTTACTAGTACTACTTTTTAAGATAAATGCATTGTCCTTCTAGAGGAGGTAGAATTTATTTCAAATAAACAGCTAGGAGGTATTTTTCTTCTGCAGTATTTTTCTTCTTTCATTTTTTAATAAAAGGAGTTAATCATTCCTTGAAAATGTACAGTCACGTGAAAGGAAAAGAAAGACCGATATTGAAGGCATTTTTCATGGAGCCAGAGTCTTGAGCCCGCCCTTGGGGTTTACCGGGGCACAGAGAGGTGATTGTTTGCCTCTGACACAGCGGTCTTTTAAATCCCTTTTCTTCTTTGGACTTTGAAAATTGAATTTCTAAGGGAACTCCAGCACATAAAGCCAAACATAAGAAAAGTTTTATATGAAAAAGGTGATCTCCATGCCTCTTTTGGAGAAGCAAGAAAATAGGGGAAGAAAAGTAAATTCATTCACATCAGGTAAAACAGTAGTTGCGCTGAAAACTGTTGTTAGCTGTTGTGTTTGACTTGAGCAAGTTAGAATTTGAAGACATCCATTTTATCTCTCTCAGGAAAACCATCTTTCCATGCTCCCACAGTTTAGTTAGAAGGCTGTTTTTTAAGATCTCAAGTAGCTACAGATTTTTCTTTTCTGAGCATGTCTTCCTGTGACGCTGGTACTGGAGCTGAGGGTGGCCAGCGTCCCTGGCCATTTGGATCATGACAAGTCTGCAGTGCCCATCCGACCCCAAGTCTGGGTGTCACTTCCTGTTGCCTCCCAAGTACCTCGTGCTTCTCCTCCACAACACTGTCGCCATACATTGGCAATGCCCTCTTGTCTGAATCCCCCTGAAGTGTCTGTCTCAGGATGATGTCTATCTCGTTCATTCTTAGGTCTCAACTCCGTACTTGACACACAAATGGCGCTCGTGAAATACTTGTCGAGGGGATGGATGGATGGAGAGCCAGAGGTGTAATTGTTTCTTTTGGTGCTGGACACACCCTTGTTTATTTCCAGAAACTGCTTTTATTCCGGGATTACCGATTCCCTGAATGTCCACTGAAAACCTACATTCTTCTCTGACCCCTTGTAGCTCCGAGATCTTGGGCAAATCTGTTACGTACTTTGTAGCCAAGTTTCTTTAGTGGTTAAAAATGGTAGTTAATTAATATCCATTAATGTTCTCTCCAGCTCTAACATGCTTTTATTTCCTATGCTAAAAATCTCATCTATTGTATTTTTAATAACTTTTTACTAATTTAAATAATCTATGACTATGTTAGTGCATTTAAAGGTGCCTTGTAAAATGGAGAATGTGGTCTTATGAAAAGAAACACTTGGCATCTGTGTCAAACCCTGACGCTGGAAGTTTCATGTGGAAACTGGGAACTCGGGGCTTTCGGGAACCGACTCTCCAGGCTGGGATTAGCCATGGTGACCTTTCTCTGGTTGCCTCTAAGATATTGTTTATTCATCTCTGCGTCGGAAAATGATTAAGAAAAAATAACAGAAAAAAATTCAAGTTAATTGATTATTTCTCATATAGAGTTACTTAAAGAGTTTTGATGGGAGAGGAAGTCAAAACCATTGGCTGAAACACGCTTGGGCAGGTCATGGTTTCATGGCCGCAGGAACAGATTGCAGATCTGTTCTTACCTCTTGAATACTCTGCTCGCGTTGGGTTCTGTTTGTGAGTTCATTGATCTTTGAGCTTATGTGGAGGTATTTTGTTTCATTTCATCTCCATGTCATTGGCGTCTGTCTCTCGTTGTTTCAAGTAGTGACACTCACGCTGGTCCTACTCCTGGTAGTAATAGTAAGGAAGATGGTTAACGTGACAAAAGTGCTGACAGTATGCTAAGCATTCTTCTAAAGTGCTTCACGTGTTTTAATTCACTTAATCCTCCCAACAACCCTGTGAAAGGTCGTTGTTATCTCTAGTTTGCAGAGGGGCACAGAGGGGGAAGTGAGGTCACGCAGACAGGAAATGGGGCGGCTGGGAGTCTAATCCACCCCCCCCCCCAACACTGGCAGCCCAGTGCTGAATCGCCATGTCATCCTGTCTGTAGCCGTTGACATAAACACACACTGAATGAGTGGATGAGTTAGTAAATATCAAATGCTACTCTCTAACTCTTAATATGATTGGAGCCTGACATAATCTGTGTTCTGCCTCTCCATTTAACACGCACACTAGGCCTACTCACAGATGGCCTAGTCCTTTGGTAGATGATATCTTTATAAAGCTTTTCTTCAGTAAATTGAAAGGAGAGATTTAGAGATTTTCATTCATCTTTAACTTTTTGAGTTTGACAATTTATGGAGTTTGACAAATAGGAAAAGGTATATTTTTAGAAACAGATCTCCATTTTTGCAGGATTATGGATCTATAATTGAAATAAGTGACAGTTGCCAGATTCAAACTACACTTCCCCAAATGGTACTTAAATATGTGGATTGAAAGAGATGGCCGTGGTCATTCTGCAGAGGGTAGAGTGTCTTTGCCGTTTGGGCTCCAGTCAGTGATAGGGTTGAGCACACCCAGTACCTCTTTAGCCACTGGCTTAAGGTGTCATGTCTGAGGAAATTGGTGCCGTACTCTCCCTTGTCACTCATCTGGTTGAATGCTTAGTACTAGTAACTTGTGATAAAATTATGTAAAATGTTCATGCTCCCAGCATGTTAAAGGAAAAGTTGGGATGTGCTTGATTCCAAACCATTCCTTCTCACTTGACCTTCACAGTGGTACTAGGAAACTATGAAATTGTTCACTCCTGAGTAATTGTTAGAACCTGGGTAACTTCGATTCATTAAGTAGCTGTTAACTTCTACATTATAAAGTATGTGACATGATAATCTAAGATGGCTGTAAAAAATGTACATGTAAGTAATGAAAGTATGTTCAAATGAATCTCTAGAGAGTAGACCAGGGCAATCAGAAAACAGTCCATTGGAGATGTGGAGACTGATTTGGACCTTGCCACAGAGGTAGGAGTTGGAGGTGTGCTTTGAGGGGATATAGATTCCTATTGGTGGAACAACTCAGAGGTGGAAAGCACAGGTTGGACAAAGGAAGTGGCGAATAGTTTGGTGGTCTATAGAAGCATTTCAGTAAAGAAAGGATTCTCCCTGGCTAGTGTGGCTCAATGGATTGAGCTCCAGCTTGCAAACCAAAGGGTCGCTGGTTCAATTCCTAGTCAGGGTACATGCCTGGGTTGTGGGCCAGGTCCCCACTTGGGGGCAAGCAAGGGACAACTACACACTGATGTTTCTCTCTCTCTTTCTCCCTTCCTTCCCCTCTCTCTAAAAATAAATAAATAAAATATTTTTACAAACTAAAGGATTTGACAAAGCCTCCCATAATCTGTAGCAGCCTCTCCTCTCCCTCCCCCTAAAACTTCCCCAAATAAACTCTGCAGTGTAGGTGAAAGAGTGGTAGCTATGCAAACACAGCTGTGAGACAGATACCCAGGCCTCCCTGCCTCCCAGTCCAATCGCCACAAAGAAGAAGAATTTCTGTATTGATGAATCACCCATTTTCATCCAGAGAGCTACTGGGCGGAAGCATCCCATTTAAGTAACCACTTTGAGACTGTTTCCAACTATAAAGCAAATCCTTCCAGATACTACTTCTTAGTAAACACCAGCTGTCTGCCCTAAAGGAACTAAGCACAGATATGAATTGTAGGTGTGTGGGCAGCTAGCGTTGGCTTCGACTCAGACAGTACCTAGTGTTTGATCTCGGTGCTGACTGCAGCGCACATGCTCAGTGAGTCGTTTTCCGCTTTTCTCACGTCTATGACTCAGTTTATTGCTAATTCTTTGAACTCTCTCATTTATTTTTCTTGATTCTCTTTTAAAGGAGAGATTTAAGGAGGCTGAGGAAACATACCAGGCTGGGATAAAGAACTGCCCGGAGAGCTCAGACTTACACAACAACTATGGAGTTTTCTTAGTCGACACTGGTAAGTGAAATTGGAGAGAACCTGTTCTGCTGAGATGAGGTGACACTCTTGAGCAGGACGACCACCACCCGAATAATGCCTCCGCAGGAAAGTCTGCTGGGCCCTGCTGGGCCCGGCAAGGCACTCACACCGTTGACAGTCACCGGGTGCCATGGGGCTGTCATTTCTCTAAATCTTCAGGCTCAATTCCATAAAATCGGCCCAGTTCTTATCATCGTATCTCTAGGGAAAACTGCCCAAGTGACAGGAAGTAGCTTTGCTGATTAAAGAGTCTTCTTTGAGTATCATTCATACACGTTTATAAATCTATGATAATGAAATGTCCCTCACAGTTATGCACACCCTGCTCTGAATGCGGGTGCTGGCAGATGGTAAATACTGTTCTGTAACTAATAAAAAGAGTCTCCAGAATTGTTTTTATTGTTCCTTATGTGATGTATGTCTGAGGACTGTATTATTATAGTTGATAGAGTACTTGTGTGTGACAGTGTTTTATAAAATACTCTTACTCCATTTTATTTTATGAAAAACTTTATGGATTCTGTTTTCTTTTTATTGTTATTATTGTTTTTCTATTACCATTGTCTCAGTCTTTCCCCCTTTGCCCTCCTCCTTGATGACTTGTGCCCCATGTATGGTTCATGTGCTGTGAGCACTTATAAAGAATGAAAAGGTATTTGAACTTAATGCAAACACCACTTTGTTCTCATTGACTATTACAGTACCTGCCCTGCAATAAAATTTCATTGTAATTAATTTGTTTTTGAAGATATTGGAAGTATCACAATTTACATTGTGATAACAATCTTTTATTTTTGCACATAAAATTGTTTTGTAGTGCCACCTGCTGGTTCGTTAGCAAAATAGTAATGAATCCCTGTAACAAAGGTATAAACATTGGGAGAGACCTCCTGTTGGCCTGGTTCAGTCCTCTTCCTTTTACTCCAACAACAAAACAAGTCCACCCCAATCCCTTAACCCCAGTTAATGACACTGTGTATCTTCCCACTGCTCCCCTTGTATTTGTGTTTTTATACTGGTGAAATTCTCCCCATGACCAGTAGTCTGCCACCTCCTACTTAAACTTGCATTCAAAGAAAGTGCCCTTGAGAAGATGTCTGTACAGGTAATAAACATCCCATCCCATTTAAAACGTTAAACTCTTCTGCAGCCCAGTCACTCAGTTGTGATTTCACTGAGAAGCTTCCTTGGAGAACCTCACAGACTTGAGAGACTTGATTCTAGCTCTGGCCTTCAGCCTCACATGCCCTGGGATCTTTGTCAGGTCTTGTAATGTCTTTGCATTTTAATGTCTGTATCTGTAAGTAATGATTTTGTCTATTCTGAAATAACTCTTAAATCCCAAAATGCAGCTAAGTGGTATCAAAAGGCAGTGAAATAGTATCAAAAATACCTGCAAAAACCATCTGAGATCACTTAAAGTGTTGTAAAATATACGATGTATTGGACGAATGCAAGGTAGCATTATTATTTTTTAAAATAAATATCTTTTAAACAAAAATATATAATTAAACAAAAAATGTGATTAAATAAAACTTATTAAAGTAATGTCTCAAGTTACGATGTTTTGGTATAATAATTGAGACAGACCCTTAAAAATTACTTCAGGACAGTTGTCTTTGTATAATAGCCACTTCTATTTTTTTGTATAATGAGTAGCAACATATCTTGATAAATAACAACCACTAATAATCTCAAAACATATTAGCTAATGCAACGGTCAAAATAAACTTTGACTAAAATTATATATAACAAAAAATATAGGTTTTAATTCCTATTGGTTTGTTATTATTAATTTCTTTGGAAATGGGAAAGAATAGTGGAATGGTTCAAAGTTAGGCAGTGGCAAGAAGAAGCCAAAATGCAAGGCAATTTACAAACTGAGTAATTGATGGTGTGACTGTAAGAAGAATGATGCATATCAGAAAATTAAAGAGCTCATGTGTGTTATAATTAAGGCATATTCTGCTCTTACCAATGCACCTGTGGTTATAGGCTCTCCAGAGAAGGCAGTGGTCCATTACCACCAGGCCATCAGACTTAGCCCGAGTCACCACGTGGCCATGGTGAACCTGGGCAGACTCTACAGGTCTCTGGGAGACAACAGCATGGCTGAAGAGTGGTACAAACGGTAAAGTTCCTTTCCTTCACTTTGTAAGTTGCCCAAAGACCTCTGCAATTGCCCATCAATTTTTATTTAAAATTTACCTTATTTTTAAGTATAGTTGACATATGATGTTAGTTCCAGGTGTGCGACATAGCTCTGCCTTTATATACCTTATGATGGGATCACCATGATCAGGCTGGTTACCATCTATCACCACTAAGTTATTAGGACATTATTCACTATGTCATCAACTTTTCGGTTGGAACAGACATACTCAGAATACTAGTGAGTTTTGCCAGTGCAAGTAATACGGATTCTCATTGCCAAAGCAAACAGTACAGCACTGCTAATGGTACCCAGATAATGACTTTCTGGCCTGCTAGTTAAAACATGGTGCTAAACCGAGGTTGGAATTTAATTCCCACTGTTTTCTGAAGCTACAGACAGCAATCCAAAGCATAAACAGCAGTTTCACAAGTGGATGTAAATGACCTACTGTGCATGCAACAAAACAGGTCAATCACCATGAATGGAAAAGATTGTTGGAGCTCAGTTTCCATACTAGTGGGTCATTAGAGATTCTCTTAAGAGTCAGAGTATGGCACCATGATCTTTTTTTTTAACATTCTTTTTTTTTTAGGATTTTATGTATTTATTTTTAGAGGAGGGTCGGTGCGGGGACGGGGGAGAAAGAGAGAGAGAAACATCAATGTGTGGTTGCCTTGTGCACGCCCCCTACTGGGGACCTGGCCCACAACCCAGGCTTGTACCCTAGACTGGGAATCGAACCTGCGACCCTTTGGTTCACAAGGTGGCACTGAATCCACTGAGCCACACCAGCCAGGGCTAAACATTCTTTTTGATATAAACAAACAGGCCATATTGGAGCAAAGTCTCAAACCTAAACAGTCATCCCTAAATCTAAGTTTTGACCTTTGGAAATGTACCTATTAGAAGAAAAGTGTTAATTCACCTTTCTTAAAACTCAGTGCCCTGAAGGTGGCACGCAACTCGGAGATACTATCACCTTTGGGAGCACTGTATTACAACACTGGCCGCTACGAAGAGGCTTTGCAGGTTTACCGGGAAGCTGCGGCGCTTCAGCCTTCTCACAAGGAACTCCGCCTCGCCCTGGTGAGTAGACGGGCCAGAGAGAACGAAGCTGGGAACACGTGCAGAGCAGGCAGCTGAGGGAGCTATGGTCAGCAGGCCTCAGGGCTAGAATTGGAAATGCTATAATATATCAACTTATGAATATTCATGTAACCAATGTTAGAGCCATTCATACAAGACATGGACACTAAAAATACTTGTAAGACTTTGTCTTGAGACAACTTCAAACTTACAAATATTTGAAAGAATATTAAATAGCTCCCATATACTCTTTCATGCAGGTTGATCAGTTTTCAGCTTTGATATATTCATTTAGCACCCTCTCGTGTGAATGTGTATGTGGAGATATATATGCATATTAGGCATGTGTGTGCATGTACACAGTGGTGCATATACATATTATTAATAAATGCTATTTCTTCCTGAGCCCTGTGAGAATTACAGGTCTCATTCCTTTTATTTCTAAATACTTCAACATACATAGTTCTTAAGAAATAGGACATTCTCTAATATAACCAACCACAATATAGATTTCAAATTCAGGAAAATTAATAACAATATTTTTACTTCAGTTTTGGATCAATACTTTTCCTTTTCCTTAGATTTGCAGTACATCAAATTTATCTGGTTATGAACACAGGAATTCATTTCTGACATAGTCAATACTTAGTCAATTTTTTAAAAAGGCATAAGTCATTTCATTGGATATCTTTAACATCCCTGCTATTCATGCAGAAACACATGCGCACACCTAAATAAAGAAACAACAAAAACTGCAGCCACATGCTGTAGCAGTTTATCTCTCTCTCTGAGTCACAAATAGATGCTGAGCAGTGTCATCCAGGGTGTTTCCTAAGTGCCTCTTTTTGAGGATGCTGTATTTGATAAGGTGATAACTGTCTTCCAAACCAAGGCCAATGTGGTTTTGCAGGCTCAGGTGTTGGCCATGATGGGTCAGACCAAGGAAGCCGAGAAGATGACCAACCACATCGTGTCGGAGGAGACTGGATGCCTCGAGTGCTATCGCCTGTTGTCAGCGATCTACAGCAAGCAGGAGAACCACGACAAGGTAGAGCATACTGGGGTTGTTTGGATTTGTGGGTAGACAGAGGGTGGCCCCTAAAATGGGTCCCGGCTGCACAGAAACAAGGCTGAGCGGTCTTAGATGTCACCATTGGATGGTTTTCACAGACAGCCCTTTAACTTCTAAGATGCCCCTTGAAATAATAGGTGCTTGGCTCATGCTTGGTCTGAAGACTTTATGTGGCTTTACCTCAGTTTGTTTTCAACTCACTCTAGAGAGATAAAGACTAACATCTGTATGCTTTATCCTTTTCCATGTTCTTTAAGCATGTTTTTATGGAATCCTTACAGCAGCCCTGTGAGGCAGGTCATTGACCCTATGTTGCAACTGTTGTTGCGTCTCTCCATTTTAATAGTTACATATCCAGTAAATTCATTAATTAATTCAACAAAATATTTATCGAATGCTTACTCTATGCCAAACCCTGTAGCAGGCACCAGGAATAAAGTGGTGTGACAAAAAAAAATCATGGCCCTTGTCCTTCTGGAGTTTACAGAGAGCTCGCGAACAAGTAAGGACAAAGTCAATGTAGAATTCTGCAGTGCTCAGTGATGTCATGAAGAGTGACATGGTCCCTAACGAGGAAATAGTCAAGGGACCTGAGTGGTCTGGGAGGTCAGGTTCCCTACAGAGTGATGAGAAAGTGAGGGCAAAGTGATACATAAGGATTATTAGGCAAAAGGGGGACAGTGAAGAGCATTCCGGGCAAGAAAAGCACATGCAAAGGCCCTGTGGTGGCGACCAGGAGCCTGTCCAAGGCCTGAGGGCACAGGGTGCAGTGTGACCTGCAGCTGCGAACGTTTGGAGGACTAGACAGCAAGGCTCGGAACCAGGACAAAAGTTCTGTTCCCTGTTTGGGCAGATTCTTGGGATTTTAAGCAGAAGAGCAACACCATCAGGTGTGTGCTTTGAAGGGATCTCCAGCTGCAGGGGGCTGGAGCCGTGCGTGCGGGGGGCAGAGTGAGAATCAGGCACCCGTGCAGGGGCTGTGGGGGTGGTGCAGAGGACACGCAGTCAGGGCAGGACATCCAGTGCCGGATTTTGTTTTCTTTGAACTGGATCACATGACCCCCCTGTAAAGTGATTCAGGGACATTTCACTGTCACTAATGCAAATGGGAAACCTGGAGTATAGGAAAATTACTTTGTCAGAGCTCCATTTTCTCAATGAGAACATCAGAGACAATGAAGAATTGATTGTCACCACACTAGCTCATTCATAAGAACAAAAAGTATACATCTTATCATTTACATCAGTTTTTCTTTATCTAATCTGCATTTATTCTGTCTTCATTTCCAATTTATGCAGGCACTTGATGCTATAGACAAGGCTCTCCAGCTGAAACCAAAGGACCCTAAAGTCGTTTCTGAACTTTTTTTCACAAAAGGAAATCAACTAAGAGAGCAGAACCTTCTGGACAAAGCTTTTGAGGTACAAACATTTAATAAAATTATGTTATTAAATTCACACATTAAAATTAATTCTCCCTCAAATTTTAATGAAGCGTATGCAGTAGAGTCTAAGGTCATTGGCATGTTTGTGAGTTTTCTGATGAACCAACATGACATAAGTTTATTTCTTATAATTGAGCTTCGGATTTTTGACCACTCGGCATCCTGCCATACCTCTTCATTATTTTCTGGATTATCACCTTTAACTTACATTTGAGGCATTTTATATTTTGCCTCCAAACCGGCTTCTCTCTCTCCCCCAACCTCTCGCTCTTCTTTTCTGTTTGTCATCAGTCACCATCTCTTCCAGCTGGACTGCTGCTTGAAAAGCTCTGGGCATTTCCGCATGTCCTTGTAACACCCTCTCCTCCCCTCAAGGATGCCCACTCATCCACTGACGCACAGCCCATGTCCTCCTCCCTACGGAAGCCCTCTGGACTGTCCTTTCTCCCCATGACCTTGATTCCTCAGAACTCTTAAAACACTTACTGTCTTTACCAGTCACTTGAAAGTGCCATGTAATACCTTGTACTGGCAGGTCCTTTCTTGCTCCCCTCCCCTGCTCCTGTGTGTACAATATACATGCATTTGGGCCCCCTGATTAGACTTTTCCTCGTGCAAAGGGCCTGCTTCCTTCTGTCATTAAAATATAATATGTCATATCTTATAACTGTCTGGCATGTGCAGCTTTGGAATTTAATTGATGCACAATTTGAAATCAAAAAGACATTTACAAGTATAAGCAGAAATATTATAGATGTCATACATTTTCCTTGTGCCTGGTAAAGCCACAAGTTGTAATTAATGCAGTAAAAAAATGTATACTAAATATATCATGGGAAAGGAAACTTTCAAATGCTATAACTGTTTTTAAAAATAGACAGTGAGTGGCTTTTAAAATGTTATTGGAAAATATATGTGAAGATAACTGGAAAAACTAATTTGAATGTGAACACTTCAAACAGAAATGGTAGCATACTTCTCTACGCTACCCAATTTGCTACCCAAAAATGCCCAATTGCAGAAATTGTGCGTTTTTCTCTGCTTTGTGAACATTTTCAATTCTTAAGTTATTTACAACTAAAATAGCAGTTTAATGACAAATTAATGATAATTATGAATATATGGAGTCTCGATCTGTATTTATATATTGTACAGAAAACAAAAGTATTGTCTAGTTGCTGGACCAGTGGATCAAATAATCATCATAGAAAAGATGTATTTCTGAAGAGTAGGAGTAAAGCCTTTACCTAGTAATAACTCCTAAATGCGTAGGCACTTTTATGGGTGACTCACACATATGACATACTTTAGTCTTCACCATAGCCATATAAGAAAGTCATGGTCATTGTCACCTTTCCAGTTGAAAACACTGAGAATCACAGGTCATGTAACTTGCTCAAGGTCGTGCAGAGGAAATGAACTGCAGCCAGGAGCTGAATCTACACCTCACCTACACTACAGCCTAGCTCAGCTGATAGAAGTTAAGACGTACTCTTTAAGTTTATTTTAACAGCTTTTTAACAGCATATAGTTTCTTAACATTTGCTCTTCTAAAACTGAAGCAGAGGAGGGATGGACAAATTCTTATTACTTTGGAATCTGATTGATTGGCTTCTTGCTAATGAAAATAGCAAGGAGCATTAAACTATACACATACATACTTAGTTTTGTAGTTGAACACTTTTCTGAAAGATTCTATTTCTCTATTTTTAGAGAGAGGAGGAAGGAGAGAGACAGAGAAGGAGGGAAACATCAATTGGCTGCCTCTCGCATACCCCAACTGGGGACCTGGCCTGCAACCCAGGCATGGGCCCTGACTGGGAATCAAACTGGCGACCTTTCAGTCTGCAGGCCAGCGCTCAATCCACTGAGCCACACCAGCCAGGACGTTACTGAACACTTTGTAAAGGCAGCACTTGTAGCCTGTAGTTTTATTTAAGATAACTACTCTTAAAATCAAGACTCTGTGCCGAGCATTCCTTTGATGCAAAGCAACGTGCGAAATATTAAAAATATATCTCATAAATATTACAGCTAATTGGAAAAATGTTATTCTGGCAAAACAAAATATTTGAGGGTTAAGCAATTGTCTTCAAACATTGCAGACCTTTTGTATGGAAGAAAAAGAAAAGAAAGGCTTTCTAATGATTAAAACTATCCCCCAGTAAAACAGACATCCTTAGAGAGGCAATGAGCACCCTGTGCCTCCAAGAATTTCAGCACAGGTCAAAGACCAGGCCAGTGATATTGTGAAAGGGGTTATTACAGTAAGGTTAATCTGTTTAGGAAACGACTCTAAGGTCCTATGATTATAAAAACATTTTTCTTACAAACTCCATTTATAGTGAAAAAGGCCAAAAAGCACCATTTTCTTGCAGGTCAAGGCCAGCGGGAAATGATTCACTGTAATAGAAATCCCCTAGATTTCCTGCAGGCGTCTTCAAGTCTCAAGTCCAGACATTAGTTCTGCAAGGAAATTACACATTTCAGTTTCCTCTACTTCAGAGTCGTCAATGTTGAAAAACAATAGGAATAAATGGGGCCCCTGTGAACTAGAAGTGGCTGTTCATTTTCTTAACCACTTACATGTTCACATAGGAAGCAGGTGGTTTCCATACTCACATAGCGTTGCGGGCGGGCCCTCGTTTCTCAACCTGAAGGTGTTTCTCATATGTTCAGAGCTACAGAGCTGCCGTGGACCTGAACCCAGACCAAGCCCAGGCCTGGATGAACATGGGGGGCATCCAGCACATCAAGGTAGGAAGTAACTCACTCCCCTGTGAACTGCGTTTCCCATTCGTGTTTTCTGGGTCTGTCTTTCTTCTCTCTTGAAAGGCTGAGGAACTATTATTCATTTACTCTTTGAATTATGTGAATACCCAAAACATAATTGTTTAAAGGTAAAATTAGCACAGTTTATGTTCACTTCGTGTTATCTAGATATTCAATATCATGAAGCCATTTAAAAAATAAATCTATATAAATTAGGTCCCATGATTTTATCATAAAGAAAATCATATGAACTGTTATTTTAAATTTAGTGGTACTTCCCCTTGAATTGGTATCTGAAAGTTAAAGGATCTATTGAGTGTTATTTTAAATGGAGCAAATACCCTGATAAAAATTAATATATCCTTTTTCATCTTTGATAATATCATGTATTAGGTTGAACAATATAAAATTGCCATGTTTGTAGTTTAAAAATGGTCTAATACCAGTGAATCATGTGATGCAATCCAGTATGGACCAGGCACATGACTTGGATGTGGTCATTTTTACATTTTTTTTTAATGTGAGTAGAGTTGGCATACAACATTATATTAGTTTCAGGTATACAGTATAGTGACGTGACATTTATATACCTTACAGTGTGATCACCACACAAAGTCTAGTAACCATCTGTCGCTAGGTAAAGTTATTGCAAATATTAATGATATTTCCCTTATCAGAGATAATCCCTTAGCAGGGTTATCATTATGAGGCCTTCAAGGACAATCGTTAGCCTTCTGTGTCTTTTGCATTGCCGGGTAGTGTGTGTGCGCCTCAGGTGCCTGAGCCTCACTCCTTGCCTGGGCTGGGTGAAGCACAGGAAGGCCCGAGGGCCATGGTAAGGATGGGAGTGGAATGAGGCTTTGCGAGAAGGTGGCACCGGGGGACAGAGAGAAGGGAGTTGTCTCTTCTTGCTTGCACTACTTGGTTGTACTACTTGGTAATAAAAGATGATATTTTCATGAAGTATTATGGATGCATGGATAGACAAGAAAAGCTACGATACATTCTCTTTTTTCAATCAGTTTATTTTTTATTGTATTTTTTCCTATTACCATTTATCCCCTTTATACCTTCTTCCACCTCCACCCACCCCCTTCCCCAGCCAACCCCACAATCACCACACTGTTGTCTGTGTCCATGAGTTCTTTTTCTTTTTGGCTCAATCCCTCCACCCCCACCACACCCACCACCCAGAGCTGTCAGCCTTCTCTATGTTAGTTCAGTTCATTCATTACATTCCACATGAGTGAAATCATATGGTATTTGTTTTTCTCTGACTGGCGTATTTCACTTAACATAATGTTCTGTAGGTCCACCCATGCTGTCAAAAAGGGTAAAATTTTCTTCCTTTTTACAGCCAAATAATATTACATTTTGTAAATGTACGATAGCTGTTTTATCCACTCACATACTGATGAACACTTGGGAATAAACAGTAGGTTAGATGGTATAATACGTTCTTTATAATTGTAGTTGCATCAACTGGGCCATATAGTAGAGTACTATTTTCAGTACTGCCTTATGACATCAGTGCGTTTTCTAGAACAGCACTGTCCAATAGAACTTTCTGCAATGATGGAAATGTTTTCTATCCAAGGCAGCAGCCAGCCACTAGTGGTTATCAAGTATTTGAAATGTGGTTGGTGCAAATGAGCAACTAAATTCTTATTTAGTAATAAATGAAATTGCCACACATGACTAGTAGCTATCATAGTAAATAGCACATTTCTAAAAACTGGATAATTTTCCCTGGCTGGCGTAGTTCAGTGGGTTGAGCATGAGCCTGTGAACCAAAGTCTCAATGGTCACTGGTTCGATTCCCAATGAGGGCACATGCCTGGGTTGTGGGCCAGGTCCCTGGTAGAGGGCACACAAGAGGCAACCACACGTTGATATTTCTCTCCCTCTCTTTTTCCCTCCCTTCTCCTATCTCTAAAGATAAATAAATAAAATCTTTAAAAAATAAAAGTTGGATAATTCACATTCTCTACCTGGCATCTAGGAATTGGGTACATTGAATTAAGGGATATAACTTGTTTCTTAAAATAAGGCTTCTGTTTTAATCAGGAAAAGAGCAGTTTGAGGGGGGAAAAGTAACTCTACATCTAGATTGTGTATGAAAGGACAGAAAAAGCTGGCGATCAGAGAAGGAGATTCCAAGTCATCAGGCGGAGGCCTGAATTAAGAGGAGCCTCTTGGAAGACAATTTCAAAGTCAACTAGAGTAGAAACATATTTTGAGGCCAGTTTAGGGACCACATATATTCCGTTGTTTGCATGTGTGTGCTAAGTAAGCTTAATAAACACCAGAAGATACTTGGAAGATAAATGCTTGAGTTAAAAAAAAAATTAATGTTGCAAATCCAGGTTCTCATTTGTCCAGAATTCTGTTTGCCTCTTATCAGAACCAGTGTTAATAATCAGAAATATCTTCATTGTGCACATGCCAGATTCTGGATTCCCAGTGTACAATTTCCTGTTCAGCCATCTACACTCTCCTTTTCACCAACGTAGCAAGCGAATGCTAAAAGAAACATACAGTGTTTACATGGAGCGTGGATAGTTATTTAGTAATAACAATAATGATAATATCAGATTGAGTGCTCTTTGTGTGTTAGATAGTGTCTAAGCTCTTGACACATATTAAATCATTTGGAAGACAGCTAAGTATTCAATAAATATAAGTTGCATTGCTACATAGTACTTTTGCTCTGAGAGAATACTATTTTAAATTGTGATGGAAATTCGGAGAGTAACTGGTTTTCACCTACATGGAACTGTAACTGAATTAAGTAGAGCAAATGTATAGTTTTTGGAATGGAGAAATTTCTAACAGTCTTAGACTAAGACTTGGCAATACCCATTTCTGAGCAGAAAATGGGCTAGAGAAAGTTAATAATTGTGATTAGTTTGCCAGGGACCATCTGGAACCAAGTACACATGGCTGCTGTCAGGGAGGCATTGAGCAAAGCAGATTGGGCCAACAGAGGGTGGAGACTGGTGTTTTTAGCTGGTCGGGAGTGACATGCCTGCTCTCCTGATTTAAAGATATCCAACAGGTGCATATGGTTGCACACCTTGAGTATTGGATAAATGTGATTCCATAGTCTTATCAGTTCTATTCGTTTTATAAAAATTTATATTTGCTTTAAAGGCTGTATTAGGCAAAAATTGCAGTTTTTGTTTTAATTTGAAGATTAAAAATAGCTTCTACCACTAAAAAGCTATTGTGGATTCCTAAACTAGTTATTTTTGTATTATTACTGTTGAAGTTTCAAAACCATTTCCCCACACACTCTCTCCCCCCACCTTTCTCTCTCTCCACCCCTCCCCTCAATTTATCCTGACATGCACAGCTCCATCTCATCACAAACGAATAATGCTAACCCTGTGAAATGATAGGTTCATACCCTGTGTTAAGTAGAATTGAAAAATCTGTTTTCTGCTTTTTAACCTTATGTCATAACTTCTTTCCTTCACATTCTCCAGCTGGACTGGTACTTAAAACAAATGGGTTCTCCAAATGCACCAACAGAGAAGGGTAAAGTTACCCATGCAGACAGGGTTTCCTTGTGGGGAAATGAAACTTAAACAGGGTGAAATGCTCTGTTTCCTAGTCTCTCCATTCTTCGACAGAGCGTTCTGGTGGATCAGATTATTCTCTTTTTCTCAACAGGGAAACTATGTGTCCGCAAGAGGTTATTATGAGAGAGCCTTACAGCTGGTACCAGACAGCAAACTGCTGCGGGAGAACCTCGCCAAACTGAATCGCCTAGAAAAACGATTACAAGAAGTTCGGGAAAAAGATCAAACGTAGCAGCTTTTGACCTGCTCTCCAGGGACAGTTGCTGGTACCTCTGGAGGAGGAAGCAGTGACAGAGGCCTTGCTGCCGCATCAGCAGGGGAACGGACACACAGTGAGGCTTCCCTCTCGCTCCCCGCCCAGGATGCCACATTTGGAGACACTGGCTGGGAGCCCTGTGCTGAGGGGCTGGCATTCCCATGAAAAAAAGATAAAAAGAGCAAGGAGGCAAGGAGGTCTGAGAGGGAAGGCATACGACAACTATACATTTTACAGATTTTTTTTTTTGGCTTTAACTTCAGATTTCCCTCCAGATATTTCTCTGTGGTTGCAACACAAACATCTGGTTCTTTTTCTAGTTTTAACTTTTATGTCCCAGAAATACAAAAGTTGGAAATGCTATGAAGCCAGAGCATTGCTTCTTCATGGAATATTTCAAAGAGGACAAATCCTCTAAGATAAGCCATTTGGGAAGTTCTATCAAGAGGTGGCTCATTTAATTCTCCAGAGCCAGAAAGGAGTACGAATAATTTCTGTAGAACCTTCTGGAATTTGTGGGAAAAGGGGCTGTTGTTAAGTGAGCTGGATCCGATATTCCCCTAAACATATTGCTAGAGCCCTACTGAGTAGTAATCGAAATTCCACTCTGATGCAAACTTTCCCATTGCCTAACACATCAAACAGGAAGCTTCTGGAATAATGTATGGATATTTTTACCCCTAGGGGAATGTCAAGGATCTTGGTACCCCTAATTCTTTATGGAAAACCTAAAATTATTTTAATTGTATTACAAGTATTACTAGAGTAGTGGTTCTGCTCTATAATTTCAAAAGTGCTTTTAAAATCATAAATGTTTCCACCTCCACATATATTGTTGTTTTGGTGGAGAAAAACAGTATATTCTACATGAAATTTATTAAAGATATTAACTGAGAGAAATGTTCTACTACATTGTTATGTTAACATTTAGACATCATGAGATTTATTATTTTTGACAAATATATTAAACCATTTCAGAATCTTTACAATATAACACAGAAATCTTCATAGACTTTAAATGGAAAGAGAGCTTTATTGATTTGTCTTCCTAAGCTTAATGAGGATTCTATGCTTAGAACATGAGTAGTGTAAACCCAAAATTCATTATTAATTAATTCTTTATCAAATTAATTATTAATTTTTAACTGTGGAGAATTCATGGAAAATGCTCAAAAAATCTAGAAAAATCTAAATTCATAACTTAAAATATATATTTATATTTAAAAATAAGGAAGGCAAAGTTGAACTTACAAATTGACAGTTATTTTTTAGTGTTATTTATTTTATAACTTATAAAATATTTAATATATACACAGTTTTTTCATTGTACATAGTGGTTTTAATAGTGGCTTTTTTAAACTTATCATACACAAATTATAAATCTAAATTACAAAGTAGTGAAGTTTTAACAGCACTTCAAAAACGTTGTAGTAATTATTCAATTGCTAAAGTCAAAGAAATTAGGACTCAGCCTACAGTGCTTGGGTAGTAGTATATTTTGGTATATATTTTGAAATTGGAACACTTGATTTTATTTTGAAAAATTAAAAAATCAAAAAACTCTGGGCAGTGCTCTTCATGGTACTGAGCCGGGTTCTGTAGAGATACAGTAGTTTGAAGGCACGCATATTTCCCATGTTTAGGCTAAGATGTGGTTAAAAAAAAACAAAAAAAAACTTCTTAGCTTCTTTTTTAACCAGTTCAAGAAGCAGTGACCCCGTATTTTGGTGGGAGGAGGGGGAGGAGGGCCAAGGTAAATCTAGATAAAAGGAAGAAAAACTTCTTTAGAGAGAGATAATGGAGAAAGAGAAGATATAAGGAATATTTTAAATGGGAAGAATTACAGAAATGCCCTTAGCGTGCACTTGCATATGCATCAATAATCCAATAGCATTTATATTACCACTATGATCTTCCATTTCTAATACTCTTTTAAAGTTGTGTATCATAAACTTATCCAAAGTTTTATTTAAAATATTTTTCTTCCCCCTCAAATATATTGCTATAGTTCTAAGGCCAAGAAAGGTACTACAGCATATTGGAGTAATATGCTGTTATTATACCCAGCCCCAAAATGAAAAATATGAAGCTCTAGCTAAAACTAATATCTAGGACTTTAGTCACAACTGTTTAGTGATCTGTAACCAAAACCCACGCAAGGTTGGTGGAAAGACCGAGCCCCAAATTTGGAAAAGCAGTTATGCCTTACTTGAAGTGCTGCGAAAGCTTCGAGAGTGCATCTGTAGGATCAGTTGAAATGGCAATCAATGACTTTCCAACGTGTCTGGGAGAGAAGGTCACACGGCCTTTGGGAGCCGCCACCCACCTTCTTTTGGGTGCTTTTCTCCCCGCCCCCAACTCCTTGTCTGTTCCTCTCTTTTCAGTCTCTTCCTCCCTACCTGCTTTCTATCCCCCTCTCTCCTTTTCTCCTTTTGTCTGCAAACGCTGCCATCTCTTCAAATATTACAATTTAGCACTATTGGGATCAGACATTTTTGTCCTCAGTTAATACTGTCACTGAGATGTGGCCAAGGAAATAATTTTTATAGTTGAAACGGTGCCTATAAGAAAATAAATCACATATTATTTTTTCAAAGATATTAAGTATATTTTGTAACTATTTTCATTTGGTCCTTGTAACATGAAATAATATGTGGGACCCACGCTTATCAAAATTAAAGCTGAGTGCCCGGCAAGTCGTGGAGCTGTGCCCAGGTTGCCCTCCAGCTAGCACGACTGGCTCGGGAGAGCCAGCTGTACCGCCGTGCCGCCTGCACTGCCCCTCAGGGTCCTGTGCTCAGGAGCACTTTATGCTTGGTTGCATACCCTGCTTGAAATTTCTGATATTTTAAACAGGAGTCCTGCAGTTTCATTTTGTTCTGGGTCCTTAAATACGTAGCAGGTGCTGGGTAGGAGGTAAGGTGGCCGAGGACAAGACAGGGGCTGCTATAAACTGGCTGAACACTGGATCCAATGATTAGAGTTTCAGTTGTGATTCTGCTGCTCTGAGAATCATTTGCTGTTTTTTCTCAGCTGCGTTAGAGTTCCTTGTGCACACATCTCCACCCTCCTACTGCCTATCCGTCTAACCTGTCCTTCATTCCTACCTGGAATGAGTCAGTTCTCTTTGCCTTCAAAACCCCGTTACGTGGCAGCCCCCTAACGTGGGGCCATAGAATGGCGTTAGCAGCTTATCTCAACCTTAAGAATTGTTCAGGAGTTTAAAATGTGACTCAGATGTTTTCGGTTTGTTAATGGCGATTGTAAAACATGGTTCAGTGATATAACACGGGTGAACTAAACCAAAGATTTAAATAACTTGGAGGAAGAATAACTTATTTTAGAAAATCCTGATTCTAACACACAGTGAGGCTGGAGAGCCACCAGTGGCTAACAACTTCCGTGGGAGTTTATAACTTTTACAAAATAGATGTTTATAATCTCTCACAGAAGAGATGCTTTCACAACTTTTGCTTTTAAATCTAAACTAAGATAAGCCAAAGAATTCTAAAGAAGGATTGGTTGGCACAATTGGTTGGTTAAGGCCACCATTCCAAGATTGACAAAACAGATGGGTTGGGAGGAGTGGTTTTGCACTTGTGGCAATTGGGCTGTAATTTGACCTATATTTACAGAATTCTCAGTTCTCAGATGGACAGGATCTGCCTTGTCATTGACATGTTCCCAGACAAGGTGCCCAGTATAGAAAACTCATATTTTTTATGACTCAAGGTGTCCATAACATAGTTTATGCCTAGACCTATGTCTCTTTATCTTTAGGTTAATTATACACATGTCAGCTTTTGGTAATCATTTCCTACTTGTACTCATTAGTTTAAAAAAATTGTGCTCTGATTTGTGATGGATGTGCATCTTAGATTAGTAAATCTATAGGATATTAGTAACAACATTCAAAAGTAATGTAGCTATAGGTAGTTTAATTTTTTTCTGATTTCCATATCACATTTACTTTGATTAAACTATATATTTCCCAATAATAGCAAAATTTATCAAAATGGCATCTTTTCACATTTAAAGAAAGCAAATACCTTTCAAGTCTTGCATTTAGGCAGCAATTGAGTCAGATAAAAGCTTACAATCCCCCAAAATATATAGGGTATATATTATAACTTTTTTATTATTCTTGAAGTTTTTATGTAAAAGAACAATATGTTGAACAGTTCTTCCAAAAATAGCACTTTTATATTATTTCTTAAGTAACCATATAGCTTAAAGAAAAGAAATAAAATAACTGCGAAGGTATGGTTTAATATCAGTCAATAAAATGGCATAACAGAAGTGATGGTATTCATATCTATCCATTGGCACATATAAAAATGTCCCATTACTATCACCAAGGATCCTTGCAATTAAAACCTTTAGGGTATGTAACTCATAAAATTAGCACCTATCGCAATATACAATCATTGTTCATTTGTAAGTTTAGATCACTATTTACCCTAACCTGGAAAGAGATGTCTATATCCAGAAATCCAGAAGTTTCTTTCTACCCTCGGTGGTGCATATGTGAATTTGTGTATCCCATTTGGAAGTTTCCAATGTTCATGATGGCCCTGGGGTTGTCTTGCTGGTCTGTCAGGAGATGCACCAGTTCAGGAGTCGGGAGGTCTGGGCTTAGGCCTTCCTCTGCCCCCACGGAGCCATCTCACCTTGGGCACATCACCAAAGGTCTCAGTCCTGTTTATCACACACCGAACCACGGGTCAGTTCCGCGGAACTGTCAAACTTTATGAGTCTCCCGATCCAGATTCAAAGCCCTTTACATCTGATAAGCGTTGCCCTTTGTTTTAGGAATTCTTAAGATAGTCACCACAACAGAACAAATACACAAACAGCCCTGAAAGTGACTGAACTGCTCACATGCTTTAACACAGCGGAGGAAACCAGTCTTATTTTGCAGCCTGTACACATAAAAAATTAGTGATTTTGTTATGTTTCTAGAGAAAAAAAGATGTTTAAAAATTTCCTTCTAAGGAACTGAAATATCTGTAGAAGCCATGGTTTGCTTTTCTAATGTGGATATCATTTGACTTGCTGTAACTCATACCAGTCCCTCATTTTTTAGGGGGAAATGATTTGCATCATGTTCTTTGTTCATGTTTTTATTTCCCACTTCGATCAGTTGTATATAAATGCACATTTTTGTTACTTTTGCTGTGCCAGTTAGAAATATATCTTCCACAAAGTATTTCTCCCATGTAAGTCTGATGTACACTTTGCCTAGGTCTTTTCAAAATAAAATTTATGTAAATGTTTATTTTATATAAAATATAATGAAAATAATTGTCTTGTTTTGGCCTCTAAAGTGCTCTATGATCAGTACCCATTGATATCCATGTCACCAGTTGGTGTCTACTTTGAAGAGGAAAAAGACCACCTTCCTTCTTCCCTCATCCATTCATTCATTCATTCATGCCTTGCATTGTTCTGTGCGCTTTGAGTCTGCTTTCTCTACCATGCCCCACAACGACTATTCAGTACCTACCCACTCCAGATCTCCTCCCCTGGTCTTGCTGAGTGCATGCCTTCGCAGAGTAAACACAAGCTGGAAAAGAAGTACCCCCTTAATATCCTGCACTGGATCTTTGAACATACCTGCACCCAATTCTGCCTTCTCTCCTATTGCTGCAGTTGAAGAAAAGGGTCCTGTTTTGCCTCTTGTAGAACTTCATTCTGTTCCTAAACCTCTTTTTCATCTTTAACTTATTCCTTTTGCTGGTTCTTGTTCATGCTCTTCTATTTTAAAACCCATATACAGGTAACCACCATCAAAATCATCTGAAGAAAAACTTCCTTCATTTCTTTTTATCTCTAGTTGCTACCACATCTCTGTCATTCACGGCCAGACTATTTGAATGAATTTTCTTCATCCATCCTTCAAATTCCCTCAGCATCATGCGATATCTGTTCCTGCAACAGATATTCAAATAAAAGTGCTATTTTCTAAGCTCACCAATAGTCCTCTTAGTGCTGAATTTTAGGCCTTGTGGGACTTCAGAGAGGGTTCTAGAGTTTAGAACAGTGGCTTAGCTTGGGTGTAAAAACTTTTTTTTTTACATAAAACATCATTTGCCCCTAATTTGCTCATGGCTCATGAGTTAGTCGCCTAATACTCCTACTTTTACAACTCTCCTTTGAGTTGGGGCTTCATCAAGAGTCTTGGGGGGCCTCCAAGAGCTTATCATTATCCTCCTGCCTTAACGAAGATATGTTCAAATTAAAGGCAAATTTCCCATACGTCACAAGTCAAAGCTAGGGTAGTCCAGTCCACTCTGCCCTTCCTTTTCAAATGTTTATTTTTTAAATAAGAGAATACTTCCCTTTGAATACTTCAACATCTTCATAAAGTTATAAACTCAAACTATTATCTTACAAATTTAAATCTAATGACCTGACTATTGCATATTATGCAATTTATATACTAAATTACTCTTTTACTACTTAATGGAAAGGCATTATTCCATTAGGCCTTTAAGAGAGCAATCCTTTATATAGAAAAACAACGTCTCACTCAAGGCTGTGAGTTTTGAACTCTGGAAACAAAGGGGGCTGTGCTGTAACAGGAAACGAGGTAGTGTCCAACCCCATGGAGATAGATCTCTGGGTGTAAAACAAACCATTGGAGATCTTGCAAGGTCTGTACACCACATGCAGTAGATTGCAGAGGGACAGGTCTGTGGGCCTTATGAGAAGTTCAGCCATGAACTTCAACTCTGTGAGTTCAACTGTACTTTCAAAGCATATGTTCATTTTTTTCTCCTTCCATTTTATTTTGTAAAACCTGCATAGTAGTTTTAATTTGACTCCCTTTTGCTAAGAAAGAGTGGGGTTGGGTCCATTTGAAGAGTCTGAACTTTTTATTGGAGAGCAGCGTGCCCCTGAGCCAGGGAGGGTTATGGCAATCTTTGTGAGAAAACTATGGTGAAAGCAAAACTCAGGGATGAGGACAGTGCAGCCATTGGTCAGGCTGCCGCCATATCTGAAGATTTCCTGGCCAGCGATCAAACCTGGAGGTACAGTGGTTAATTATCACAGAAGAGCTGCTTACCTTACCGAGCCCCATCCAAGGGTCACCCAGACACCAAGTTTGGGTGCCAATGACATTCTCCAAGCTTCTCCCCCAAAGGCACCCATTCACCTTCTACACTTTTCTGCAGTTACAGGGGTCATTGTCCTGGCTGATTGTCACCTGCCTGGTCCTGTACCTGCATTCCCTCCACCTTGACCGTCTTCCGTTTTTCTATCCATCTGTCTACCGCCTGCCACCCTTCCTGGGTTAGTTTACCATTCTACCTCCAGGAGTTTTTATTTCCATTTTACACAGACTGAGACAACTGGGCCTGGGGACTGGTGTCCAAGTTAGTCGATGTGTATACAATGTCCACTTAGCCTTGCTCTATTTTTTTTGATAAAATATAAATCCATTACATATTCTGGCTTTATTCCTCTCCCAACCTCAAGCTAATTTAATACAAAATAATATTTATAGAAGAAGTGCTGACATGATGATTTTAGCAATGAATTAATTTTAATAGTCTTAAGTGATGCATCATATAGCTTTGGAGCACTCCACTAACACTGATAACACTGTCATCCAGGAAAGCAGTGACAGCATAAGTCTGATCTTTCCTGTCCACTCTATTTGGAAACTCTGGGTGTCACAGCCTTCAACAAGCTACTTAGGTGCAGGAGCAGTGCCATTAAGTACTCATTAAACTTGCCTGAGTCTCCTTCCTCTCAGCAGCTGTCTCTAGCCTGTGTCTTGTATGGATGACAAGCTTCCTTGACCCTGTGCTTGGGGCACCCTTCCCAGTGTGAGACAGAATTCACCTGTGCTGAGCCTTCCAGGTTACTGATCTTCATCCCCTATCTGTCTATAAGGACCTCTGCATACGTGTGAGCATCTCACCAGCCATGAGGACACTTGCACCTTTCTCCAAGGGCCGATGGCTGGGCCCTAGAAACCCCAGGGCAGCCAGAGAGCAGCCACCTCTCAGGATAACCCCGAGGAGGAGATGCTGTGAGGGCTGGCAACGGGGTAGGTGCAGCCCATCCATCCCGCTGCGGGCAGGAGTGAAGAGCGCAGGAGTGAAGGGTGGGTAGGCGTGCTCATTCAGGAGAGCAAGGGCCCATGGTGCTCGGACCACTTTCCTTGCTCCATTTTCTCAGCCTCAGAGGGAGGAAGACAAACAAAGTCATCATGGAGACCATGACACCATGAGGGCACTGGCCTGGCTTGGGGTGCTGCTTCTCGCCGTGGGTCTCCCCACAAGCCCAGGTGAGCCCGGCCCTGGGCACCCAGGGTGCAGATGCCAGGACAGGAGACTGCATAGTCCTCAGGCTTGAAGAGGCAAGGATGAGGGCAACAGTGCAGGCCCAGGTGTTCCCAAAGATGCACCTGGGCCGGAGTTTCTTACTGAAATTATTGCATTCTGGAGCCCAAGTTTGTAGGCACATGTGCTAAGCAGCCTGCTCCAGAAAAAAAATAACATAGTTGAAGTAACTTATAGGCAAATATCTGTCTTCTGCAGTAGCATATGTTATTCTCCAGTATCTTTTCTAGAACCTAAATTATGTCCTGCTCACCCTCCAGAATAAGGCCCCCCGTCAGTCACCACAGGAACAGCCTGCACATCCTGCCCCCAGGCATTTTCTTGTTGGGGCAGCTCAGCTTGAGGAGGGGCAGCCCAGGGTGAGGCACATTCTAGTCAACACAGCCTGACTGAGGGGTAGTCTCAGGGACATTTTGAGAGAAGGAAGGGGACAGCCTGCAGCTGTACCAAGAACATCTGTACCAAGCCAGGAAACCCTGAACGTGCAATCTTGGTAAAGTGAACCCTTAAATAAGGTGGTCTGCATGCGTGTGTGCACACATATGCTCCCCCACACAGGACTGAAGTGTGGAATTGGAGCAGTTGATTTGAAAAGTACAGACTGTCTTGGACTCTGAGCTCTTCTCTAGAACTCTTAGGTGGAGAAATGCAACAGCTGGTGGACATCCATGGCAGGTCAGTATAACAATGGCATTGATTTCTTAATGGGAAATGGTAAAATATTCCTTTTGTTTTAAATATCATAACTCTAGGTTAACATGTTATTTTTGTCTTGACACATTTGACCTATCTGCCCAAACATTTACTTGTTAGGTAATATCTTAGTAACCAACTCATAACTGTATCTAAGAATGTTATAGCATATTAAAAGAGTTGACTTCAAATATTTCTGAAGGAGTCAGCGTCCATGGGGACACGTATGTTAGTTGTATTCTATCTTTTGTCTTGGGCAGATCTCCCGAAAATTAGATGAGCCCCACTTCTGGGAGGAAGCTTGATTCAAGATGACCTGGTGGTTACAGCAGCAGCACGCTGCCTGGCTAGCCTCGACGAGTAAGTTGTGGCTTTTCTCCCTTGTCAGACTTTGATTCGTTGTGATAGAACTTGGAGATTTGATGATCTAAATACCTTCCAAGGTTAAACCTCAGTCCCTTTCTTAATTTTACTACCCAGTCTGCCCACTACCCAGTCTGCCCACTACCCAGTCTGCCCACCCATTGGCCTTCCCCATGCTTCCTACCATTACTAACCAGAAACCCCAGAGATCCAAGACTTCATCTATAATTTGTGGAGTTAGTGGGAAGAAAAATAATTACCTGCTCTTATGAAGTATTAACATCAAATGTTAAATGGATGCTCCCAAGGTTTAATAACCTGAGTTTTAATCATTGGAAGGGAAAATACCATGGAAACAACAGGCACTTGACTAGATCGAAAGAGGGTGCTAGTAAGAGGAAAAGAAGAATAGTTTTAGGAACAGCTTTTATATCTTGTTAAAAAAAATGGAAGCATATATATAGACTGGTTTAAGTACAAAAGAAAAAGAAGATTCCACACTTAAATATTTTACACTGAAAGACAATTGATGGTAAGGGAAAGGGTTCACAGAATGCAAACACTGTGACTGAAAACCTTGCCTTTTTATAGATCCTTATAAGTTATAGGAAATTATGACAATTAGTAATCACTAATAAAAGCACACCTTCTTTGAAGACAGTAATACTTACAGGTACTTTATTCATATTTTTCATTTAATTACATAAAACCAAGTGTCTTTTCTGAGGAAACAACTGTTGTGCTGTTGAAACATTTTTCTTTGTTTTCAGGGAGCAAATTAAGGGTCTGGCTGTGATTGCTGGGGAGTACAACCTTTTTTGGAAGGATAAGCAAGAACAGAGTATTCCTGTCTCAGAAATTATTATCCATCCTGAATACAACACACTTCCTCTGACATCTTCCTCTTCCTAGCCCAACGTCTAACTTTTTTTTTGTTTTGTACTGAACATTCTTCTGTTTAACCTGCTGCAGGCATCCTGGCCTCCCCACTGTTCCTCAAACACTGGGACATGATACCTCTACAGGGCTTTTCCATTCTGTTTCTTCTTCTTCAAATGCTGTCCACCAAGATAATGGCATGGGTCCTTCCCCTAGCTTCTTTAAGGCCTTGTTCAAATGTCAGAAGCTCGATGAGACTTGTCATGACTACCCTACTTAAAACTACATCTCCCATACCATCCTCTTTAATCCCCAGATTTGTCTCCTTTACCCTGCTGTGATTTCTCCAGAGCACACATTACCTTATAGATAAATTATTATACTTACTGTTTGTATTTCCTCTCCCCCTGCAACACACATGCACACACATACACATAAGTTCTGCCTGCACAGAGATTTTTTTTCTGCTTATTCACTGAGGCCTAGAAGAGGGCCTCATATAGTAGTACTCAATTTACTATTGAAAAAAAATATGTCTTTTAAAAAAATTTTTAAGATTTTATTTATTTATTTTTAGAGAGAGGGGAAGAAAGAGAAAGGGAAGGATAGAAACATCAATGTATGGTTGCCTAATGCATGACTCTTACAGGGGACCTGGCCCGCAACCCAGGCATGTACCCTGACTGGGAATTCAACCAGCTATTCTTTGCTTTGCAGTCCAGCACTCAATCCACTGAACCACACCAGCCAGGCTAAAAAGAAACAATTTCTTAAGAACAAGGCTACACCTTAAAATGTTAGTAGTTTTGGGGGGATTATTCTGGTGTATAGAACAACAGGTTATGTTTTTCCTTGTTTTACATTTCCTGCATTTTTCTAAATTTCTATTTGAAATAATTTTAATGAAAAAGGAAAACTTTGAAAATATATGTCAATATAACACTTAGGAATAAACTGTAGAAGACATGAAATCAACCAATGTCACTTTCCAAATACATTCAGTATCACTTTCTCTGAACCTCATAGTTTTTTTCTCAGGAATTGCTGTTCAGCCAACCTGTCTTCCCAATAGAGATGATAAATTTGAAGACGGGATTCTTGGCATGACCAGTGGATGGGGCAAGAATTCAGAGAGTAAGGGGCATCAAAAATATATATTTCTTCCCTTTGCATGCCCAATAGAAACAAGGATTTTGTTGGCCAAGAGTAACACATTTATCTTCCGTTTTTCTTTGCCCTGAGTTCTGACCCAGTGAAGATTTCTGGTTGTCTTCACCACAGAAAAGTCTGTACCTAAGGCTCTACCTACAACTCTGGCTGCCGTTTTGGTCAGTGTGTCAGCTAAAACTGGAGGTCGCTGTAATGGGGTGAAAGAGGCTACAGGAAAGGGGTTATCTGGAAATAGTAACAAGAGTTATGTTTCATATATTTAATATTGTGATTTTTAAAGAAAATTAGGAACTTTATAAAATATTGCTTTATTGAATAATGTTTTTCTTTGGCGAAAACATTCAAGCATAGCTTCAAAGAAGCTACAATTGCCCATGTTACCCTAAAAATCTGCTGGATTTTAAAAAAATGTTCTTTATCATATATATGATTTTAGGAAAGAATATATTTCACCCTTAAAAAAATAAGAACTTCTACATTTTGGTTAAACATCTACTTGAAACAGTTTTAAATGTGTAGGCTTCTAATGATTTGTTTCAGTGAAGACAGTTGTTGGCTAACTTATCAGTCCCTTCTCCACAGCATGAAAATATTCAAATATCCTACAAAAATCGGAATTTCCTATCGTGGATGACACAGCTTGTAACTCTGCTCAAGGGTATGAACCTTCCTCTCCTGGGAAGGACCACATTGTGTGCCGGTTTCCCTGATGGGGAAAGGATGCCTGCCAGGTGAAAAGCGTAAACCAGCCCAGGTATTCAATAACACATGGGCGATAGTGGTTTCTGCCTTTCCCCGTGAGCTGCTTTGGGGAGAGACTGCTTCAAAATTCCCCTTTCCTTCATCTTTTCAGCTGGCTTCTATGGAAAAAAATTGACTTGTCGTGAGCTGAGAGAATTCTTTCCTGTCCTGTGCCCCATCTTACCCCCACACCTCTCTTTTGCAGGGCGGTAATTGGAGAGGTAGGGGGTGTGGTTTGAATATTTCCAACCTAATAGAATCAAGCAAGATGACCACTTTGGCAAACTAATTAGGCTCAGCTGTGAACTTTATATTCCATCTTTTATTAAAATGTTTAAGTATTTAGTGCAAATACTTAAGTATTAAGTATTTGTTAAAATATTTAAGTATTCAGTGCAAAATGCAATCTTTGCACAAAGTTTGACCGAAGATAGCATAGTTATAGTAACTGTTGGATAAAAAGATGTGATTGACAGTAACCTCCAGAGGACAACAACTTTACAAAGAACAATCTTTACCAGATACAGAGAGGAAAGGGAAACCAGTGTGCTAAAGACATGAATTTTAAGTTTAAATAGAAAAGATGATTTACTTGGAAAGCTTTTCTTTTTCCAGTGGAGGATCAAGGAGTCTTTGTTTTTTACCATTAGGCAGTGGGAAACTGATATGATAAGCCCCTGAAATTATCTTCTGGAAAAATGTATTTTCCTTCCAGGAGGCGACAAAGACCAGGAAAAGTTTGGGAGGGAGAAGATAAAAAATTATAATTATGCCACTTTCTAAGTTGGAACACAGGCAGACGAAGGGTGCTTTGTCCTGTCTGCATGCTTTATAGGTAATCTTGTTTTGGATGAAGCCCTCAAACAATCCTGTGCCTTTTGAGGAGGGCTTACTCTAACACAAAAGTGGCACCTGTTCTCGAAGCAGCATATTATTCTGAAGGGTTATTGAAGATAGGATTCTGAAATCATGGTTTCATATCCTCTACCGAACCAACAGTTTTTGACACATAGTCTCTAGAACAAAACTAGGCTTCCAGGCATTGTTTTTAAAGCCTTGAGCCATAACCTTGCATAACCTTGGGGGCTCTATTCACTGATGCTATAGCCTTGGAATATAACCCGGTCTTTTCCAACAATCGCAGGTGACGAGCTGTTGTAGAGGCATGTATCGGTAAACTAGCTCGCTTCCTTCCATTGATTTTGGAATGTGTATGGTTGTTCCCAGAAAAGAAGGAAGGAGGGAGAGAGATGTTAACTATTAGGTTTACAAGATTGCAGGCAATGGGTGGAAGTAGGTTACATCTGGGCAAAACCATAGTACCTTGTAATTAATGGTAAACAAACAAAAAAATGAATAAAAAGGAATTGATGGGCAATGACCATTGGGCTTATAGGCCTCTACTTCTCTGAGATTAGTGCAGATATTTGTGAACCTGACAAAATATTCTTAACTTGTGAATATTTTCAAATTTTCTCTTTCTCTACTGTAAAAGGGGAACTCTGGAAGCCCACTTGTCTGTAGAAGGGACAATGGACTCTGGGTTCTTGCTGGGATAACTTCCTGGGGAGCTGCTTGTGCTAGAAGTTGGGCTCCTCCAAGAAATAACTATATAAAGAGCTCAGCTGGCATTTTCTCCAAGGCTTAAGAATTGAAGGATTTTGTCACTCAGAACATAATCACAGGTAAGTGTAATTTCTGTGAATTTTTCTTTTCTCATTTCATTGCAACTCAAAAATTGATCATACTTACTTATTTCAAGGGTATTTTGATATACTTCAGATATAATTAGGACTAAGCTTTGAAACAAAGCAAAAATATGGCTGGTTTTCAATCGTAATCCATTGTGTATAAACTTCTATCTCTGCATTCATGAATACTGATATCTGTCAATTTAACTTAATCATCAGTTGGATCTTCAATGTTATCTTCATGTAGATTTTCATGGAATTTTTTTTTGTATTTCTGATATTTAAAAATACAGGAAAGGATCCAGAGTATTCTTTATTTATCCAGTTGACTTTTTTCTCTAAATTACTTGAGAGCACAAAATAAATCACTCCTCTCCCACTTTTCCCATTCTGCCTTGTTCATTTTACTCGGCAACAGTGGAAAAATAAGGGAGGCTTTGCAGTTCTTTTTGTTCTGCGGCACTACACCCTAGATAAGAGAGATAAACATGGGTGTGGAGATGCTAAAGCTGTCCTGAGGGAACTTGCCAACTATTTGGTGAGAAACTAAATAGACAAGTTTCGAAAAAAAGTAAAGTGCAGGTAAGCCCCGAGAGTCATCGGGTCACCTAGAGTCTAGGGGACTCAGTCCTGAGGGATCAGAAGGTTTTTCTCGCAAAGGGGTAGCATCTTCACAAGAAAGTGGCACATGGGCAGCCCCTGTAGAATAAAGAGGCATGAGAAGATACAGTTTTCAGAACAAGTAGTTTAACATAAGAAACAACCTTTTTAGAGGCCAGGACCCAGAGCAGCAGAACATAAAGTTCCCTCCATCCCACTTTCATTGAGTCCAAGATCAGCCACCTGGCGATGGTTGGGAGCCTGCCGCTGCTGCTGGGTCCGCTGCACGCCAGCTCTGCCTCAGACTGCAGCAGGCTCTCAACGCATTTCCATTTGGCCTTGGGAGTCAAAGCGTTCAGTTCATTGCCATGACTGCAGGGGGAATTCTCTCCTGATGGCAATTCTCTTCCATTTTTATCACCTGGAAGTGAAGGCTGAAGAGGTTAAGAGCCCTAAACAAAGGTTAATGATAACAACATTTTAAAATGGCAATGAAATGAGGCAATAACCATTAATTCTACAGTCAAATGAATATCAGAATGTGACAAGTACTTTATTTAAATAACACTTCTTTAAGGTATCTTCCTAAGCTTCCAGTTCCCTCGTTGCCTATTTCTTCTAACTCCCAACAATTGAAGTGTGACACTGCCATGTGAAATCTTGAAGTGAGTGGCAGAGGCTTGCCATGTCCTTGCCAACATTTATATAGTTCTCACTTTGGTATCTTTAAACAAGGGTGTTTATTATAACCCAGGACCACCTGGACAAAGATGGGAGGACAATGTGTTAGTTCCATACACGATAAATTTGACAGCTTCACTGTAATTTGTGATTTGAGAAAACTGGATAAATCTTAAATTTGAAAAACTCAAACAAAAAAAAGAACATCTGAATACTATTCAGCCATAAGAAAGAATGAAACCTTGAGATTTGTGACAACATGGATGGACTTGAAGGCATGCTGAATGAAATAAGTCAGACAGAGATAATACTGTATAACCTCACTTATATGTGGAATTTAAGTTTTAAAAAACTAAGCTCATAGATACAGAGAACAGGTTGGTGGTTGTGAGAGGTGAGGGTATGGGATTGAGCAAAATGGGTGAAGGGGGTCAAAAGGTACAATTTTCAGTTCTAAATAAGGCATGAGGATGTAAGGTAAAGCATTGTAACTGTAGGTAATAATACTCTATTGCACATTTAAAAGTTGCTAAGAGAGTAGATCTTATAAGAACTCATTACAAGGAAAAAATTTGTAACTGTATGTGGTAATGGGTATTTACTAAACTTATTGTAAAACTTACATGTTTTGTAATATGTAATATTGAGTTATGTGTATACCTGAAACTATTGTAATGTTATATGCTAAAATTATACCTTAATAAAAATAAATAGGAAGAAAAGCATTGTAGAAGTATGTTAGATGATTAATAAAACTATTAAAAAAGAAAAGAATGTATCATTTAGAAATTTTCCTAATAAAGTCTGCAAATACATCTCATAATAGCACCTAAAAACATGTTCATTCCCATAAATATAAATTATATAATATAAATTGTACAGCTTTGAGCTGACTGTATCATATGTCTTGAAATATTGTCTATAGATGAACAGGGGTTTGATCTCCAAAATATATAAAGAACTGACACAACTTCACTCCAGAAAGATGAACAACCCAATTAAAAAGTGGGTAAAAGACTTGAACAGACACTTCTCCAAGGAAGACATACAGAGGGCCCAGAGACCTATGAAAAGATGCTCGGCATCACTAGCCATCAGAGACATGCAAACTAAAACCACAATGAGACACCACGTCACACCGGTCAGAATGGCCATCATAAACAAATCAACAAACAACAAGTGTTGGAGAGAATGTGGAGAAAAGGGAACCCTAGTGCACTGTTGGTGGGAATGCAGACTGGTGCAGCCACTGTGGAAAACAGTATGGAATTTCCCCAGAAAGCTAAAAATGGAACTGCCTTTTGACCCGGCAATTCCACTGCTGGGATTATATCCTAAGAACCCTGAAACACCAACTCAAAAGAAACAATGTACCCCAATGTTCATAGCAGCACAATCTACAATGACCAAGTGCTGGAAGCAACCTAAGTGCCCACCAGTAAATGAGTGGATCAAAAAACTGTGGTACATTTACACAATGGAATACTATGCAGCAGAAAGAAAGGAGGAGCTCCTACCCTTTGCAACAGCATGGATGGAGCTGGAAAGCATTATGCTAAGCGAAATAATCCAGGTGGCAAGGGACAAATGGACAAATACCATATGATCTCACCTTTAAGTGTAACCTAATCAACAAAACAAACAAGCAAGCAAAATATAACCAGAGACATTGACATTAAGAACAATCTGACAGTAACCAGAGAGGAGGTGGGAGGGGATAATTCGGGAGGGGGGGAGAAGGGGAAGGGTTTTCAGGAACAACTATAAAGGACACATGGACAAAATGAAGGGGGTTGGAAGCAGAGAAGGGAGGTGGGGATGGCTGGGGTCGGGGGGAGTGGTAAGAGGTAAATGTAGACAACTGTAATCGAACAACAATAAAATTTTTTAAAAATGAAAAAAATTATTGTCCATAGCTGAAGTAATTAATGAGTTTATTCCCTATGTTTTGGAAGATTGTCGACCTCAGGGAACAGTGCTGTTTGGGGAAAACAGGAAGATCTGTTACCCCCATTCGAAAGAGGACAGCTATTCTCATGAATGGTATGTATCCCAGGTGGGAATGATTCCTAGATTTTCCCCATAAACAATGCCATTTAAGAATCTATGTTTCGGCAGTCTAATGTAGAATCTCAATACCTTTACCTGATTAACATAAAACTCTATATATTTCATCTGAAACTTTCTGGGTGGCAAACATTTGCCAATCAGTATTTCTGATACTCATAGTATAAATTATCAACCCAAGTGGTATTAAGACTGGAGCTTACATGAATCGATACATTCAAATGACTAACATTAATAGCTCCTGGTAGTGAGATTGTCATGGGAATTTAGTGGTTAATCTGTTTCACTTATTTCTGTAATGATGATAATATTTTGTTAAGTGTTACCTAGAAGATGGAAACTAGGTCATGATCTGTAAGCTTCAATGTCTTTGAAAGTTTCTCTACATACCCTGCCTTCTCTATGACTAAAGATATCTTTTAAGTTTCGAAATTCATTTTGCAGGTATCTCATTTTCCTAGTGTTCTACATTCATTTTTTAAAATTATATTTAGCATTGAAAGGTATTCAAAGATAGATGATAATTCTATGAGTTTATAACCTGGTAGGAGGAGAGAACTGGACAAAAAATAACTATACTATAAAACAAGATAAAATAAGCTTTGTAGTCTGTACTACCCAGATGTGTTGACACTGTGGAAAAGGGAGAGACTAATTCTCATTGCAGGGGTTTCTGAGGTGAGTGTAGTGTGGTTGGGAGGGGTGGGGATAGGAATGCTTTAGTGGAGGGGGTAGTATTGAAACTAGGCTTTAAAAGATAGTTATGACTATGTAGTCCATGAAGTCTTTCATAGCTCCAATATCTAAGATTTCTACAGTGAACTCCAGGCAGAGGGAATTATGTGTAAGCGATGTCAGGGAGCTGAGGACTGCGGAGCTGTCTGAGCAATGTGTACCCCGATGCTGCTGGAAGGCAAGGTTAATGTAGGCAAGAACTGGAACAGCAGCGGACAGTGAAGACAAAAAGAATGGGAAGGCCTTAATCATAGAGGACCTTGAATTTCATGTGAACAAATTTAGACTTTATTCCATATGCAATGGAAAGCTAAAATGATGGTGAGATTGTAATTTACAAAATGAATGTAAATATTTTATGAGTAGAGGATGGAAATGAAGTGGCTTATTGCAGCCCGTATTTAGAAAGCTTAAGAGTCTAAGTTGGCTTTCTGTGAGCAAACCTATTAATAACATACTACCAATAAAGACTTTGCCATCTTTGCTTATTCTTCTTTTAGAAGAATAGAATTCAGAACAAACATCAGAGTCCTGTTTTATTAGAGTTCTGGGCGAGGGAAGTAGGGAGGAGGCCTGTAGGTACCATCTCTAAAGAGGGACATTGATAAGCCAGAAAGTAGCTGAAGGACAATGAGTTAAATGAAAAAAGAAACTTAAAACAGTATCTTGAGAAATATGGCAGAAGGAACTAGGAATATTTTTGGTCCAAAGAAGACTTGAGCGCAGGAAGGAACTGTCTTAATTTATATGAAAGGCTACTAGAGAAGCAGGCTTGAACTTGTTCTGATTAACTACAGAGCTGAGAATAAGGAACAGAGGGTAGATGTTAGGAGGAGGCAGATTTTAATTCAACATAAAGTAGTTTCTAATTTGCAGTATTCCTGAGATTTAATGGACTGCCTCAGGAGACAATGAATTTCCTTTATAGGTGGCTATTTGAGTAGAGCATGGATGCCTATGGGTGAGATTTGAAAAAAGCATTTATGTATTAGGTAAGAGACAAGTAGATTACTGCCAATTTACCCTGAAACACAGAGAGCCTGTGATTCAACTTAGTGAAGAATTGAAGCTATCTCTACAATAAGAATTGGAGATATCCCTTCATCTTGAATGCCTTTCTCTACAAGAAATACTTTCTTGTAGAGAAAGACATTCAAGACGAAGAGGTTTGGTAGTAATGTCAGGTATTGTAAAAGCTGAAATGAGTTCAGATTAAATGCCATTGGATATGGTATTTCAAAATTTGGGAGGTGATTCAGTAGAAATTGTTGCATCATAAGCTATATTCATGGGTTAAGTGATTGTTGAAGACTTGGTATCTTTTCTTCACCAAATAGTAAAACAAAAAAAAGTGACTGAGAACTTAAGATGTGTCAGGCACCAATTTAGGTGTTAGTAATATAGCAGTGAATGAAGTATATAGACATGTCTTCTTTCATGGGGCGAGGTGGAAGGTGGAGAGTGGGGATAATACAGATAACATTACATATCATAGTAGAAGGTACTAAGCACTATGTCCAACGATAAAGCAAGAAAGAGAGGGTAGAGAGTGATGGGTTTTGCAATATCAGAGAGGATGGTCAAGGAAGACTGCATTAAAGATGATATTTTAACAAAGACTTGAATAAGATGAGGGACGAAATTACATGATCATCTTGGGAAGGGACATTCCTGGTCAAAGGAATGGTGTTTATGAGGCAGGAAATCTCTTGGTATATTCAGGGCATGAGAAGATCAGGGAGCCTGAGTGAGCTAAGCGAGAGAAGGAGAAGTGGCTGTGATTAGTGGTGACCACACTTACAAGACATAGGAGGATCTGGGATTTTATTGTAAGATGTGGAGTCATCAGAGGACTATGAACAGAGGAAGAGCATTATCTGATACATTTTAAAAGGATCATTTTGGCTATTGTATTGAAAATACATTGTAGCCCTGGCTGGTGTGGCTCATTGTGCATTGAGTGCTGTACTGTGAACCAAAGGGCCATCAGTTTGATTCCTAGTCAGGGCACATGCCTGGGTTGTGGGCCAGGTCCTCAGTAGGGGGCATGTGAGAGGCAACCACACATTGATGTTTCTCTCCATGTCTTTCTCCCTCCCTTCCCCTATATCTAAAAATAAATAAATAAAATCTTAAAAAAAAAAGAATGTAGACAGGCCCACCCAAAAGCTGAGAAACTAGCTACTGCAACAATCCAGGTAAAGAAGATGTTGGCTTTGACCCTGTGTGTTACAGTAGAGGTGGGGAGAAGTGGCAGAGCCACGGGATTTGCTGGCAAGTCGAAAACTTGGGGTTTAAGAGAAAGAATCTTATGATTAACTTGAGGGGCTTTTTTATCTTTATTTTTTAACCTATGGAAGGATAGAGCTTGTTTGAGATGAGGAAGACGGTTTAAGCAGTGAAGAGAAAGAAGAGATTGGAACAGTGGCTTTTGGGTAATAGGGTTGTAAGGTAAAGACGAACAGAGTTTTTGTTTGGCTGGTTGGTTTTTGGAAGTGGAGGCTTACCTGTCCTTATGGGCAGAAGAGAGGGTAAGAGTGATAAATCCAGAGAAATACATATTTATATGAAGAAAGTTTAATAAGAACACAAAGATAAAGAGGGCCTTAGCTTTGGAAAGAAAAACAGTTCCTTTTCTGGGAAAGCAACAAAAAAGTTTGAGGTAATTTATAGGACAGTTGAAGGAATTCACATTAAATGTTGTCTTTGTAATTATAAGTTTTCAATTGTTTCAAGTTTAAGAGATGAGGTTGAGAATAATAGGTAAAAACATATGACATAGCTTTTAGCGACTAAAGCAGGAAGTCAACTAAAGAGAATAAGACTTTCAAAAGTATCACAACTCAGTAATAAAATGGACTTGTTACATTTCAGTAAGTTTAGAACAAACTAGTTGTGAAATTTATCATTATGTCATGTACCACCACAAAAGAAACCAAACCACTGAGATCCCCATGTAAAGCTAGGACACCGAAGGCCTTCAGTGTTAGGCTAATGGAGGCACAAACTCCCCCACATGGAAAGTTACATGCCTCCCTCCACCTTGGCACTGAGAATTTGAATCACAACCTAATCCTCATGTCCATCTAGAGATTAAAATTCTCTACAGCAGTGTAGTCTAAACTACAGCAAGCAGAAACATTAAGTAGTATTCAGTTGAGAATACCCCCCAGGTGACTAGCCATAGCTAATACAAGTCCTTTCTGGAAAAAAACTCTTTCAATCCATGTCTAACAGAATTGTAAGATCCTTCCTTCCAATTTTAGAATGTTCAAGTGCAAAAAGACGTTTTAGAAATGTAATAAGATATGGAGCCAATTTGCATACTTGGTGACTTTCCCAGCATGGAAAGCAGTGCTGAATAGTAGAAGGGTTTTGTAAATTCCAAGTGGAGTCCATCAGCTAATGGTAAGGGGAAAACAGATAATAAGAAGAGGAGTGGGGAGTTATACAGTCTCCCCAGGCCTAGTACTTTTATTCCAGTAGGTGGTAGATAGATTCGGATAACACAGATACATGGCACTCAGGTGGTCTCCTTTTTTCCACGCTTGTGGTGACACTGCATGTCTTAGAAGCTAGAAGAGTGACTCAAGTATAGCAAACACTCAGTAGATATTTGAATGAATAAGTCAATGATTAATTTTTGTGCCCTTCCCTCACTTAGCTTGGTTAGACCTCAAAATCCTTTTTAATATAGAAATCACTAACAATAAATCAAGATTGGCAAATGATTTGAAGTCTGTTTTCCATTTCTGAATTAGAAATTTTGAGGCATAAAATAGTTTGATGAGAACAGAAGAAAGTACTGGCCTTTGAAATCATAAAGCCTAAACTGTATTTCCTATTATATGAGACACGATGAGTCCCTCACTATCGATGCCAGTTTTCCCACTTGGAGAAGGGGAGTAATTTCTCTCCTGTCTGCTTCAGAGGGGTGTAATGAATATCAGGGAAAATGATAGATATGGAGTGCTCCTTCAATGAAAGTGCTTAAAAGAGTGAGCTTCATTATATATTTAGGTAGCTTATTGCTTTTGAAATTGAAGTGCTTAAAAAGTGATCTTAATAATATTCTAGGCAGCCTCTTTTTACATCTATGTTCACGATGATGGACCTAAATAGAAAAAGAGTAAAGCAAGGAGTTTCTGGTTAAGGAAGAGATATTTGGTAAGAAGAATTATTGTGTTGTTTTTTTGGAAACTGGGTATAAAAGAGTCGATGATTCCTACAGTCCTGAACATTTATTGCTTGCAAGGCAGTGGGGTGTTAACCAGTCTAAATACGTTGATAAAGACTACTACTGAGTTTAGAAAGGAGTTCATTCTGACATGTTAGATTGTGGATAAGGTTGCTTATATTCAGGCGAGTGTGAGACATGGAAGACACTGAGGATTTACAGCCCACCAAGGTCTCTTTTCTTGAATAGTAATATGAATTAATGTAGGAAAATGAGGGCGTAATGGGTTATGTGTTAAATTATGTAAGACTACTTTCAAAATATTTAGACATGTTTCTAAAGATACTGGGAGAAGGCCGAGGCTGATCTTCCTGGGAGTTTGAGAGCTGACATCCGGACGGCAGGGACTGTGACTCAGGCTGACATATGCTCCATGATCGGTCCACGGCTCCTGACTCATAACTCAGCTCCTGGGTGAATACTATGAATTTGCGATTAGACTTAGGACAGAAAGATGAATCTTAGGTTTCTTCAATTTATAGTTCATAAATCTAGCATTTTATAACTAAATGAAATTTTAAAGCTGGTTTCTGGCCATTCTATAATTAAAACTCCTCTGTTTGTTGGATAAATGTCAGAAATTCAAGCATGAACAAATTATTCTCAACATAAGGAATTTCCATTGCTTTTTATCTTTTAATATCCTGTAAAATGTTGTTATTGATGAGTTATGAGCTAAAGCCAAGGCAATAGATCTTATTTGTCACACTTGACTCTGCCATTTATTATATGTTCTTCATCTTACTCTATCTAGCTTACAGATTTAGAAAATAATGATACGAGAAGATAAAACTATCGTACTAAAATTTACAAGCTTTGACATAGAAAATCAAGTTGGATGTGAACATGGCTGTGTATTTTTACAATCAAGCAACCAAGTGCTTATTAGTAAGCATGTTACATTTATTTTATTTGTCATTTTATAGTTCCTGCAAGACTGAAGAGGTGCTAAAGGATCTGAAATTAGATTTTTGCACATAGGGCAATTATTTTATCTTATGTACTGCGCCCTTCTTGAAGGGGTGGGGCTCAGTTCAGCAAGAGTAGAACCAATGGCCAGCATACGTTTCACTCTCACTCAAGGACATGCTTATTGATTTTAGAGAGAGAGGGAAAGAGAGCGAGAGAGAGAGGGAGAGAGACATTAATGTGAGAGAGAAACATTAATTGGTCGCCCCCCACATGCTCTGGGGATTGAACCCGCAACCTAGGTATGTGCCCTGACCAGGAATCAAACCTGTGACATTTCAGTTTACAGAATGATGCTCCAGCCAAGTGAGTCACACCAGCCAGAGCCTGTGGCCAGCACATTGACAGAGCATTCTCTATTCTTTTCTCAGGTTTAATAGCAGTATTGAATAAAATTGTCATGATTGTCAGAAAACTTCTTTTCAAAGCAATGTTTATTTTTTCACTTTGCCACAAAAGTGGGTGTGTGTTTGCCAAGTCTAGTAAAGACAGATGAGCAAATGGAAGAAAATGTAAGTTAATCGCAACCCTATCACCTAGAGAGAAATGCTGTTAACATTTTGATATATATTTATACATATTAAATGTACACACTGAACTTTACTGCACATTGTATTGTAATGTTATTTTTCTCATGATACAATAGATCATTTCATGTCATTAAATTCCTTTTACTGAACACATCATAAGCTATGTAAGCATAACTGATATATTTATTGAACTGAAATACTGTGAGTTAGGCATGACAGAGAGTCTCTAGAGCTGGTACAGACCTTAGTCTCTGGGTCTCTGTAAGGTCAGTGGTTAGGATGAATCTCTCTTCACAAATGTTTGAAAGAATGCTATAGGCAAGGTATTGTGTTTAGGGTTATAACATGTATTACCTAAGTAATTTTATGCTTCAGTCCTGCTATTTACCCAGTAATCATTCCTTCGACCAGTCATTTGTGGAAATACAGCTATATGCCAGATACCACACCAGGCCTGGATATACAGAGAGTAAAAGCAGTCTCTACGGTAACGCTCTCGCATTCGGGTGAGGTAACTAAAGGTGCACAACAAAGTTGGAAATAACACGAAATAGGGAATGTGCTGTGGTGATTCAGGAAAGGCAGCAGTCACTTCCAGTCTGTGTCTGTGAAGGTTTTTGGGAGAACTGGACTTTAAGTGAGGCCCTGACGGATGAGTAAAATTTGGCCATGGGAGATTGGGTATGAGAAAGTGAAGGGAATATAAACTCACTGAAGCAGAGAGTGAGGAATGATTAAATGGGCCACTAAATAGTGTGCTTACAACAGAGAGTTCATGAAAAGTAATATTAAGAAAACAAACATGTTTACTTACTGATGGGGGTGCGGGGAGCCTACAACTCAGGCATGTGGCCTAACCAGGAATTGAACCAGCACCCTCTGTCTTTGAGGGACGATGCCCAACCAACTGAGCCATGCTGGTCAGGGCTGTTTCTGCCATTTTTCAGTACTGTTATTTCAATTGTTTTTTCTTTTAAGGTAAGGTATGGAGATACATTGCCCTCACCATTGCTGGCAGAGTCTACTGAGGCTATAGTTACATTTGCTTCTGACAACAGTGGCAGCGGCTTTGGGCTTCCCTTTACTGCTGCTGTACAGAAGAACTCAGAAGCAGGGAAGTATTTTAGATACTTAATTCCCTGCTATTTTTCTTAAATGGGGATGGTGAGGAAGAAAGAATGCCTTTGGCTATCCACTTTGGATTTCCTCCACACTTCCATAGGCTCAGGGTGTGGGAGTGTGGCTCTATTGGTGAAAGAAGGGACGACTCACTCTGCCAGTTACCCAGACTTACATCCCAAGAATTTAATGTGTCATTGGTTCATTCATGCTCCAGAGAAGCACATTATAAAGGTAAACAGTGGACAAAGCATTTTACTTCATTGAGAACTTAGCGATGTTAGTTAGGCGGAACTTGCTTCCTCTGTACTGTGAAATTCCTGTCATGACTAGAATCTTCTTTGCCTTTCACTTTTTAAAGCCCTAAAAGAGGATTTATATATGTGGTTTAAAAGTTTCGACAACTTAAAAACTAATACAATGAAAAGTATGCCTCCTTCTCATTCAACTGCCATCCTACCTCCTGGTGGCAAACACTGAGAAGCTTTTAGGTCAGCCCTAGAGAGATATTCTGAGCATTTATAAATATATGTGTATTTATATTACTTGGTGGTGTTTTTTCTACTTAAAAATCTCTCAAATATCTTTACAGATCAGTCCACAGAGCTCCCTTCAACAACCACATAAAATTATATTGGGCAATATTCTGTAATTTCTTAAACCGGTTCCCTATTGACAGACACTTGGTGAGTTTCCAGTCTTTGCCCGCAGCAGCAAGGCTGGTGCACTCCGGTGTCACTGCGTTTGGACCATGTAGATGAATTGAGTTCCCAGAAGTGGAGCTGCTGGGTCAAAGCAGCTGTGCCTTTAAACAGTGTAGTCATCGCCGAACTGCCCTCCAAAGAAGCTGCAATTTTTTACCCTCTATCAGTGGAATAGAAGGGGGTTACTGGGAGCCACTTAGCGTGCAGAGGGAAGCCATTCAAGTTGACCTCCTCTCTCCCTTGACCACTTCCCTGGTTATGTTTATAATTTGTATAGTTGGCATTTGAGGACTTTACTACTGAGTTTAACCAGAGCTGTGCTTGTGACACTGTTGTGATTTTTGGTGATACAGAAGCAGAGCATGAGTTAGGTGGGTAACATTCTATTGCTTAAACTTAATCTGAAAAACATGAGACTAACCAGTGTAGCTGTGGCATATGCCAGCCTCACTGGGCACCCAGAGGTCAGCTGGGAATATGAGTTTCTTACACCAGAAACTCATGATGCCAGAAAACACACGTTTAAAAACCAGGGGCCCACAGTGGGTTCACCAGCAAGGTTTTGAATAGAAGCATGCAACATTTGAAGAAAATTTTAGAATATTCCCTCCTTTTCTGTAGTCATCCCTTCTATTGCTGATATTTTTATTTTTATGTCCACAAAAACAAATGAAAAAAAAAGGTAACCAAAAACTGCCATTTCTACTTGAGTCTTAAAAGTTAGTTTTTTGAACCAAAACATCAAGTATGCTTTTAGTTTTGACCTACCAATTCATCAAGTATAAAAAATTATCCCTTGCAGCCATGTAGCCACTTCCCTAACACCTTAGCTGGGTCCTAGTGCTGGTGCAACAGCAGGAATGTTGGAAGGCTCAGACGGTTTATCTGCTGTTTAGACGGGTGAGTGAAGCACAGTTCCCTGACCCAGCAGAACGGGGTCTGCACAGAGCAGGGTTCGAGCGAAGCAGATTGCAGGCGTTACCCGCGCACACGCAGCGTAGCCATGTTCTGTTTGAAGGAGGAATACCAAGTCTGGGATTTTCTTTTTTTACTTGCCTCTTCTCTTTATCTACAAATGAACAATCAATTGAGATTTTCATGCATACTAAAAATCAGATGTCTTTAGCCTGTCTATGGAGATTTTTTCCTGTGCAAAAAAATTATAATACATTGTTATCTGGAAGCTAGTGTTTAATTCCCCCAGAAAATAAAAAGGATGTGCCTACAAACCAAAGCTAAAGAAAACCACAGTTGCTTAAAAATAATTAACCAGATAATACTTCACCTCCGTTTTTTTTTTTTTTTAATTTCTAACTATAAACCAAACTTCCCTAAAACTTTTGCAGCTAAACTTTGTGGAACCTTCAGTCCTACTCCAGTATTCAGTTCTAGTAGCCTGATGGTGACTCACTTTAGAAGTGATGGTCAAAAGAACTTCTGAGGCTTCAAGGCTAGATTCACCTTTTTGCCCTCAGGTCAGTATAAATACTCGTGCAGTGTTCTGCTTATGAAAATGGTTATAGTAAAGATAATTTGCCCATGTTCATCTAAATTTAGGGTGCTGAAATCACCTCAGTGGCAAAATAAAAATGCAAATGGCTGGGCCCAACCCCCAAAGACTTACATTCTGTAGATCTGGGATCATGCCCTGGAGTCTGTGCTGTACGAAGCTGAGAAACTGCATCTAGCAGGTGGCCGAAAAGGATGCTGAGCACCTCACATTAAAAGTAGATCATTCAGATTAGAGAATGTAATTCAGAAATGAGATGGGCTAGCTCTGTTTCTGGATATTTGAAGGTTTTAAAAGGTAAATAGGTTTCTAGACATTCTAGGGATAAAGGAGCCCTTGCCCAGAAAAAGGAATATCATCTGCAAAGACCCTAATATAAAAGAGAATGGATTGCGTACAGAAAAACTACAAATAACGCAATGCTGTTTGACTTTTGGAAGGGTTGATAGAAAAGACTATGATGTTAGACTATGATGGACATAGGACATTAAATTTAATATACCTAATGATAGGATAGCTAGTTAACATTTCTTGATTATACCTGTTCTGTACCAGGTATAGACTAAGAATTTCACATGCATTATCCCATTTATTCCTCCTTAAAAATCTAAGAGATTTGTACACTGCTCCCTTTCTCACAGATGAGGGCCACAGAAGCTCAGAGAGGTAACTTTCCCAAAGATGCATAGCAAGTAGAGAGTTCTAGGGCCTAGAATTCTCTAGAGAGAATTCAAACATTGGTAGCGATGCAGAAGATGGATATAGAAATTAGGGGTGAACTTACATGCAAGGGGAGTAGTGAGGAAGTCATTGTAGGAATTTATTCTAGATATATTGTTGATTAGATATGTTGTGGGGAAGGGGGTGTATGAAGGAGAAAAATTCTAGCATGATTTTGAGGATTCTAGTTTGAATGGCTAGATGGATGGTGAGGCCACCAAATGATACGGAAAAACATAAGCCCACCTTGACTGCAAAATGAATTGGTTCCATTTGAGACATGTGGATATTTTATGAGCTTGTTGGAGATCCAGATGGTAGTACTAACAGTTCTAGATTCTAGAATTCAGGAATGAGATTTAGATTGAGGAGACAAATTTGGAAGTCATATATATGTAAACCTTTAAAAATAAGGTTATGAACCATATACCCTGTGGAATATCAGGCTGAAGAATAGAATCCTAAGAAAAGACTGATTTTGAGAAAGGGCCTTAGATATGTCAAGAAAATCAAGAGAGTACTTTTAAGGACCCAAGGATGGAAGAAGTGCTTTAAGAAGTCAGATACAGTGGGGATATTAAAAGATATAGATTAGATCATATCTGTGGGATCTGGCATTTAGCATGTGAAAGGTGATGTCAGTGAGTGCAGCATTAGAGTGGGTTTACGTGTGACCAGGCTGAGTAAGTACAGTCAGCTGGTATAGGCTCCTCTATTTTTGACTAGATTTTTCTTCTACAGATTCTTTAAACAAAATTGGATCAATATCACCTCCCAAAAGCAATCCTGTATCTTCTGCAAAAGCTATTCTGTGTAGTGAGTTTATGGCCATATGGTTACTCTTTGTTGAATCTCTTTTTTTTAACAAGGGGCCTGTTTTGGCAAGTCTCTTCTTACACTGATTCAGCTCCACAGTGAAAGAGAGTGAGTTTCATGTGAGATTATTTAGGACCATGAAACTTCCAGAAACCTGTCTGGGTTTACATAAAAACTCATAAATGGAAAGAAGAAATCAACTTTACGGTGGAAGAAAGGGGTACAAAAGGCAATCCTTTGACCTCCTCTATTCCTGCGCAAACCTAATATTTAAATTATCTCCCTGGACTCTGTACTTAATATGATTATTCATATGAGGCAAAGGGGGAAAACAAAGTTTTTTATTCATTAATACTCACTGACAACTTTTAACTTCTTCATAACCTAAAGTGTCAGTTAAATATCATGATCTATCATCCCTCTGTAGGCACATACTGTGCATGTCCTAGTTGGTGGGCTTGAATAGAAAGCTGTGCAGGTGGCTGTAAGGCAAAAATAACTGCCCCTTAGGGGGGAGGCAGAGAAGGCTTAGTGGAGAAGGTGGCACTTGAGCTGAACCCTAGCAGTATTCCAGATAGGAGAACATTTGCATGTCTGAGTGGATTTGGCATGTTTGAGGATTGTAAATAGTTTCATACAGTGAGGAGCTAAAACCAGGACATATAATGAAGAACCATGTGTGCTCTGCTAACAAACAAAATTTTCTTGCTAGGATATAAGTTCCATATACTATAAATTCCAATGTAAATATATATAATTTCTTAATAGAGTTACCTGGACAAGCTTTTAATACCAGACTTTCCAGGGGTAGGTTTGGGGAATCTGTACTTTTACAAAGCTCATCTGGCATTTGGGAATTATAGTTGTTGCTTATGGCAAGCCATCGGAGAAGGGTACTCTTAATTATTCCACTTGTATGGATCATCAGTCATCGGTTTTATCCTCTTTGCTGTAGGGGTCTGTGGCATCCCTCCATTCAGATCCCGGTTGCTTCTGAGAAGAACTGCAGGAGGGGAAGAAGCTGCCCCCACTGCCGGCCACGGCAGGTGGGGTTGAGGTTTCTGGGAAATCCCCAGTTGTGGCAGCACCATCATCAACCCGAATGGGATTCTGACTGCAGCCCACTGTGTGAGGTCGTGAGTGAAGTGGATGACATTTCACCAATTTGCTGTTTATAGTCCATGCCTGGGACATAAACATGAAGGTCTAACTTCTGAAATCACCCAGATTAATTCCTGTCTGTGTTTTTTCTGCATTGCCATCTAGCCTCCATTCAAACAGGGAGAATGAGGAAAAAATTAATTGAGCTAGGTCTATTTCTTCTTTTGTACAAACATCTTTTCTATATCTGAAGACCCCTCTCACATTGTCTCTTAATTTGATCTTTAAGCTAAATACTCGTTATTCTACTGTGATTTCAGATGCCTCACCATGCAATGAAGCTTCCCATGGGTCGATTTAGTGTTGTTCCTCTTAAAATATGGTCCACAATAGTGAGGGCACAAGAGATAATCCACCGCCTTGATCACTGCATGACCAGTTAGAGAATGAGCTGTTTTATATTTTCCCTTTAGGGTGACTCATGATAAGCAGGCTAGACCTACAATTTCAAGGGCCAGGTAAGGTTTTTAGTCTGTGAGGGCCGTATGGTCTCTACCACTGCAGCACAACACAGCCACAGGCAGTGTGACAAAGGGACGTGGCTCTGCTCCAACAGATCTTCATTCATGAACTTTAAATTTCATATACTATTATGTGTCATGAAATATTATTCTTATTAGAGTTGTTTCCAACCATTTAAAATGCACGTACCATTATTAGTTCCTGGATTGTTCTAAATAGGCCCTGGGATGGGGTGGAAGGTTCTGGAACGGCATTGGCCCGCTGTCTGTGTTTAGCAGACTGCTGGGCTAGTGACAGAGTGCTTAAAGCTGCAATGAAATACCGAATTATCTGAGTGGGTCAATGTTTGCCTTTTGCCTCTTTTCACTGTAAAAGATCATTTTCTATTACATTTTCCTTCTGCTTCTGCAGCATTTATTTGGAATCTGTAAGCTTGAAGGAGAGGACTTATCTTCGTGCAAGTGTTCATGTTCACAGCTCCTGTACTACCTGCAGCCAAATTGCATTTCCCCAAAGTCTCTGCAACCACCACATAGGAGACTTTTATCCTCTCTGTTTTGCAAATGAGGAGGCTATGGCTCAGCGTTATGCAATTTACTAATATCCCCAAACTACTAAGCAACAAAGGTAGGATTTAAAGTCAGCTATGGCCCACCTGAAAATTCTTGAATTCCCAGCCTGACTTGGGCTCTATATAATTAGGCCTCCACTTAACTGTCCAATTTCATTTCCTCCTTTTGTCCCTTCAGACACTGTGGTCTTCCTTCCTCTTAAACACCAAGCTTATTCTGCTTTCTAAAGCTCTGCACTTCATTTCCTTCCACTTAGAACATGGTTATGCGACTCTCCCAGCTGCCTCCTCCTCATCTCACTCTCCCTCTCCAATGTCACTCCCCTTCTCAACCCTCTGTGCTGCAGCAGGCCTGTTCTGTCACTTGCTTTCTGCACTACCCATTGTGTCATCTCATTGCACATCCACATCCTTGACATGTTTTTATGTGATCATTTTCTGTAGCTCACCCCTTAGAGTGGGAACCTCTGGGAGGCAGATCTCTGTCTAATTCAGCACCCTCTCCCCAGGGCTAGAAGTTTACCTCCACTAGAATGAAGACGAAATATTTATTGACAGACTGGTTTCAAAGCCCCTGAATAAGTATGCCCATTCTCTAAAACCTTCAACCTTTGCCAACTTCATGACCACCAGGTGACTGCAAGGTGGTTACAGTCTTATGGAAGAGGAATCCATCCTTTTAGACTCAGAGAAAATGAGTTCTTGATTTTGAGACATGGTAAGCAACACTGATGGGAAGATGCACGATCCCTGAAAAGAGGAGTTTAAATACATTAAAATGCTTATGTGTTAGATTAGCGCATCAAAAACAGCACAAGATTTATCGTCAGACCTTGGCTGCATTACTGGTTCTGTCCGACAGGTGCTGTGAGATTGAATTTTCAGAGCTGTGCCCTTTTCATGTGTGAAACCGATGTGAGCCCACCCCACGATGCTGCTGTATTGTTAGGTTGGAGGAAAGGGCCCTATAAATACTAAGGTGATTGCTATATAAATGTAAGGTAATTTTTATTTTGTCCTGAAAGGTTTAAGACTACAAAATAGTAAACCTAATTTTTGTAATGTCATGAATCTAATGTGATGAAATGTCATGCAAAATACATGTTAAGACAGGCATGACTGAGGGTCAATTATGAGAAGAAATTCTTTAGTGTCTTTTTAAATTGGAGTTGAGTTTAGGTGACAGTGTCAATTGAGGGAAAAAAGAATATGATTTTAGATTATATTAGGAAATCATAAGAACTTATTGCTATCACATATTTATAATATATATTTATATATATATTATACCATATATAATAGTTATAAAATATATAATAATTATATACTATATAGGTATACATATGTAATCATATAAATCACCATATAACATCATATCTTGATTTTCTTTTTCTTTCTTTTTATATTATGTATATAATATAATATATATGTATATATAATATATATGTATAATATATATGTATACATATGTAATCATATAAATCACATATAACACCAGTTCATATCTTGATTTTCTTTTTCTGAGTTTTTATGTAGCAATGTTTGAAACACTAATATTTAAATGGAAAATAAACTAGAAAAAAATGTTTCTGGTCTTGTTCTCCTGCCAATGTCCTTCCTTTACAAAGATGTCACATCTGGAAATGAAAATACTCTGCATAATATATATATTTTGATTTAGCATTCTACATCAGCTCAGGCACAATGGAGTGATTGCAATTATGCTAGTGCAAAGCAAGTCTGAGCTTCACTATTTTTTAACATAACTTCTTGCCTACATCATTGTGAAGCTCTCTTTCTGAATCTGTTTCTTAATTAGATGGTAGCCTGCCAAGTCGCCTACAGCAGATGCAAGTGTTTGTGTTGGAGAGAGAGATCTACAAAAGCACTTACTATTCTCCTCACCCAGGAAGGATCAAAGAGAGGCTGATCTGTGCTGGCCTTGCAGCTAGAGTGGGAGAGGACTGTCAGGTGAGATTTTGCAGAGGAAGACAGGAAATCATCATCTGCTAGAGATTCTCCTTGTATAGGAGGAGACGACTCTCAAAGCCACAGACAGCTCCCTTAGTCTGTGCTTCATAGCATTGTGCCACATCCCCTCACCCGAAGGCCAGAAGGAGGACAGACAGAGTGAGTTACTGTGCCCAAGCTTGCTGAGATGGTAGAGGTGGGTGGAAAGAACCTACAGCCAGAAGAGCAGAGGGATATAGCAAGGGACCATGAGAAAAAAGGAAATGGCAGCACCACCAAACTGGCCTGCAAGTGGGAAGATATTTTCAGATATATTTCAGGCTTTGGGAAGAGAGGAACAAGCAAATAAGGATTCTAAATTAGTGTATACTATTTATCACTGAAGAGTTTCATTGTTTTAAATTGTTATTAATCTCCAGGGCACTCACACTTGTTTTTCCACTATGGAGTAAAATAAAATAAACATGAAGAACATAAGAACCTTTGAAAAAAATGGTTTTCATATACAGTGAAAACCAAATCACAAAGCACTAGTTTAATTTCAGTAATATTGTAGATGTACTCACTGGGGCAATGGCACTGTTGGCAAGTTCAGAATCAGCTAAGAAAAAGACAGAATATGGGCAAATGCATTGCAAACACCAGCTTTACTATTCACAAAGCCAACTAAGGGATGAGATTTTAGATGTACAACCAAAAAGGGTTTCTAACATTCTGTAGCTTATCTTCAATATCTAGTGTGGATTAGAGCAGCCCACCTAAAGGAAAGCTGTGGTCTTCACAAGTTTCATGCTGGTCTAGAGTAGAGAGGAAAGAAAGAATGAATCTCTAGTCTTTACTGCTTTTTGATGACATCTCTCCCAATCAAGAAACAAGAACCAATGAACGTCACCCCTATGGGGAAAAAAACTGGGTATTAATCTGAATAGAAGTCCTTCCACCTGAAAGCATGAAGAGGGAAGGGAAGTGGTCCCTTCTTCCCTAAGTTGGTAAGATTTATGAAAATCTGACAGGGCAGCTGATGGCAATTGGGAGAACTGTGTGAGGTCCCCAGGTGCCTACGTTGAAGGGGGCGGAAGTGTCATTGTCCTATGTACAATGTTTCTTGTATCTTGTATCTTCTTCAATAAATGTCTTTATTTTTCATATTACATGGCTGGATAACTTCTGGACAGACCACACATATTAAAATCAAGAAATCTGATGTCTTTAACTTTGTTCTTTCTCTAGATTATTTTGGCTATTTGGTCTTTTGTGGTTTCATATGACTTTTAGAATATTTTTTAATTCTATGAAAAGTGCCACTAAAATTTTGACATAAACTGTATTGAATTTGTAGATAGCTTTCATTAGTATGGAAATTTTAATAATATTAATTTTTCTAATCCATTGACATGGATAGCTTTTCAATTATTTTTGTCTTCCTCAATTTCTTTTGTCAGAATCTTATAATTTTCAGTAGAGAGCTTTCACATTCTTGGCTAAATTTATTACTAAGTATTTTATTCTTTTTGATGATATTGTACATAATATTTTTTTAAATTTCTTTTTCATGTATTTTGTTAGTGTATAGAGACAAACTGATTTCTATATGTTCATTTACTATCCTAAAACTTTACTGTATTTGTTGATTAGTTCCAACAGTTTTTTGGTAGAGTCTTTAGGATTTTCTATATATAAGATTATATCATCTGCAAATGAGCAAATACAGTTTTACTTCCTTTTTGATCTGTATGCCCTTCTAAAATTTTGTCTAATTGCTTTGGCAAGGGCCTCCAGTACCATATTGAATAGCAGTAGTGAGAGTGGGTACCCTAGTCTTGTTCCTGATCTTAGATGAAAATGTTTCAACCTTTCACTGCTGAATATGATGTTAGCTGTGTGTAGTTATGTATAGCTTTTATTATGTTGAGGTATGTTCTGTCTATATCCAATTTGTTGAGAGATTTTTTTTTAAGATTTTATTTATTTATTTTTAGAGTGGGAAGGGAGGGAGATAGAGAGAGAGAGAGAAACATCAATGTGCGGTTGCTGGGAGTTATAGCCTGCAACCCAGACATGTATCCTGGCTAGGAATCGAACCTGCGACACTTTGGTTTGCAGCCCACGCTCATTCCACTGAGCTACGCCAGCCACGGCTGAGAGATTTTTTAATATCATGAATAAATGTTGGATGCTTTTTCTGTACTAACAACATGATAATATAATTTTAACTTCCATCCTATTACTGTGGTAAATTACACTTACTGATTTGTGCATGTTGAACCATCCCAGGATCACTGGGATAAATCCCACTTGATCATGGTGTATTTTCCTTTTGAGTTCAGTTCTGCATTTAGTTTGATAGTACACATGTTCCTTGACTTATGATGAAGTTACATCCTAAGATCCATTGTAAACTGAAAATATAATTAAGTGGAAATGGGTTTAACACACCTAGTCGACCAAACATCATAGCTTAGCCTCAGTTATCTTAAATGTGCTCAGAACATTTACATTCGTCTACAGTTGGGCAAAATTATCTCTCTGCCATCGACCAGCATCACTAGAGAGCATTGTGATAATACCGTATATTGCTAGCCCAGGGAAAGATTAAAATTCAAAGTATAGTTTTTACTAACTGCATATTGCTTTTTCACCATCATAGAGTCAAAAATTCTAAGTTAAACCATCGTAAGTCAGGGTCTGTCTGTATTTTGGTGAGAACATTTATATCTTATTTATCAGGGATACTGGGCTATGATTTTCTTTTCTTGTAGTATCCCTATCTGTCCTGGGTCTCAGGCTAATGCTGGCCTCATAAAATGAGCCTGGGAGTTTTCCCGCCTCTTCGATTTTTTTGGAGAGTTTGCAAAAGATTGGAGTTAATTCTTTAAATGTTTAGTAGATTCATCAGTGAGGCCATCTGGCCCTGGGCTTTTCTCTGTTGGCATGTTTTTGATTACTGAATCAATCTCCTTACGTGCATTGGTCTGTCTGATTTTTTATTGCCTTATGATTAGGTCTTGGTGGGTTATATAATTCTAGGTCACGCGCCCTGCTTAATGACAAGGATACATTCTGAGAAATATGTCATTAGGAGATTTCCTCTTTGTGCAAACATCATAGATGGTACTTACACAAACCCAGATGGCATAGCCTACTACTGTAATTGTATGTGCTCTCCTTTTACGTGACTGGCAGCACAGTGGGATTGTTTACACCCCCATCACCACAAACATATAAATAATACACTGCACTGCCATGTTAGGATAGCTACAACATTGCTAGGTGATAGGACTTTTTCAGTTTCAGGATAATGTTATGGGACCACCATTGTATATGTGGTTTGTCACTGACAAAAATATCATTATGTATGGCCTGGCTGCACTTCTTCTAGGTGGTCCGATTTGGGGTATATAATTTATTTATTATAGTCTCTTTGTATTTCTGTGGTATCAGTCATAATGTCTCCTCTTTCGTTTGTAATTTCATTTATTTGAGTCTAAGTATCCTAAGGTATACAAATTGACATAGAATGATTCTTTTAAGAAATTAAAGAAATGCATTATGAATAAATTATTGGTTATTCCTATTCCAAAATTGAAAACTAGAGCTCTGATTAAAGCAAATTTCTAGAGCATATTTCTTTGGTGTTTCAGGGAGACTCTGGTGGGCCATTAGTGTGTTGACATGAAAACGATCTCTTTGGCATCTGTGAAGTCATCAGCTGGAGAGCTGGCTGCACCTGGCCAAGGAAGCCAGGTGTATTTGCCAGGGTGAGTGTCTTCTCGGACTGGATTCAAACCCCCCCCCCAAAAGGTAAATATCTTTCAATATTTATGCAATATCCGATAATTATGAAAACCATGTCTCTTTCTTTAGATTTCTATCAGCATTAAGAAAGAGATGACTATAAAGTAATATTTTATTTATTTTAGTTTTAAAACCCATTAAAGTGCACATTAAAGTTCTGTAAGAATATGTTCTCCCTTAGACAGAGTTATGGTAAAACTGACTTTTCCTCACGCTGTTTGAATCCTAGACATGCATTCCCCTTTAAGTAAAGCTGCTTTGGTACAGACTACCTGTTGTCTCTGGGCATTCATTTTTATTTATTTTTTCCCGGTTCTCCCCAGATACAAATTTTGCTTCACTTCAGATGAATAATAAAAGCAAAACCTTAACAAGGAAACAACTGCCACCACTCATAACTTCAACAGACAGTGCATCTGGAACAGGTAATGGATATTCATGTTATCTCATTAAAACAGCTAATAAGAATTTAGCAAAAAGCATTCCATGTCCAGGTTCCCTTATTTTCCGTGGAACACTCTAAGCTCTGTGTTTTCATTCTGTTAGCTAGTTCAAGCTGCAAAAGAGGAGAACTGTAATTGTGATGGTCTGGGGATCTTTTCTACTTCATAGATACAGTGATCTCAGGTTAAAAAAAAATAACAATCTTCTGATTGTGAACAACTGCCTGAATTTGAAGTGCATAGAATTATTTTGACCTCTGAGCTATTTATTCCTATATAAACAAAGGTCCTTATACTTTCAGGTATCTTGCTCATATAAGTCTCCGGCTATGAGAACCCCAAGACTAGCCTGAGGGTTACTGTCTCTCTTAATTCTCCCACAATTGTTACTGTCTGTTTTCTAATAGGATTTTAATTTTTAGTGGAGAGCAAAAAGCAGCCTGAGGGTTTGAAGCCTGAAGTAGACTTGTGGGGTGATGAAAATTCTTTGATATCATCATGCTTAGTTCTCTAATGGTCAGGGTCTTCCCCCTTTCATCTAGCTCTTCCCCACTCACTTCCACATACACTCGACTCAGTAGACAATGAGTTGGAGACAAACTGAAAAAGATGCAAGTGAGAGGGGTTGGGGAATTGTTAGATCAACGACTTCAGCAGAAGAAAGGGATGAGATCTAGTGCTTGGCCGGAGGGTTTGGTCTTAGGCAGGAGCAAAGCGCAGTTCCTCCATAATTGCCAGATGGAAGGCAGAATATTCAGTCACTGACATGGGTGTATGGGGTACATGTAGAGATGGGAACTTCTGGCATTTTTTTCTAATTGCTTCTGTTTTCCCAACAGATGAAACAGGACATTATGAAGGGAGGTTCAAGGGTTTTAAAAGGAAAAAAAGAGAATGCATGAAAAAGTTCTCTAAAAAAAGTGGCAAAGTGCATAGACTAAGAAAACATAGTAGGATTATTGGGCAGCATAAAAGCCTCTGAGATTAATGATTATAAATTCAGAAGGAGACCAACCAGTTGGCTTAATTGTACGTTTTCCTGTGCAGACACTGAGCGCTACCATATAGATGCAGAGCAGGTAGAGAATTCATTCAGTCAGAACGGGTTTTCCCAGGTATGCAAGGGTATAAGGGAAGTGAGAATATGTGTGAAGAAGGGATTAAAACAATGGATCATTGGAATTGACCTAGGAAAGGAGTAAACAAAGATGCAAGATGAGTTTGGAACCAAGGAAGAGGGGATAGGGTAGATCAGCAATTTTCAAGCTTTCTCATGTCATGGCACACAAGCATGGAGTACTAAAATTCTATAGCACACCAAAAAATATATATTTTGCTGATCTGACCAAAAAAATAGGTATAATTTTGATTCATTCATACCAGATGTTATTGATGTGTTGGCTCTTGACATTTTTTAATTTGACAGTCTAAGGGAAAAGAAGTCAGTGCCCCTCACTAAATAGTCAGGTATTGCATGTTTTAAAAATTATGCTGTGGCACATCAGTGTGCCATGATACACCAGTTGAAAATCTCTGAGACAGTTGAATTGCAAGTCTCAAAGTTGTCAGGAGTGTTAGAGGAACATAAAAGATAGAAGTTTGTGGTTGGAGACAGTGGTGCTTAAAAGTGATGTTATGAAAAGCTTGGGTTTTTTTTCTAATAAACAGGCCTCTAGTGGCTGACCTTTGGGATAAGGCTGAGGTTGGGTGGGGGAAAGTTGAGAGATTGACAAGCTTCAGTTCTGGAATCATCATCTACATTGTGCAGATGCTGAAATCAGCAACTGCTGGAGGAATAGTGTTGGAGGGAATGTCTGCTAAAATCTAGGAATGAAAAAGAGTAACTCAGAGACCAGTTGTGGGTGATATAGTCTGACAACACAAGAGTCGAAGAGTCAAAACAAAAGTCAGAGTCATATTTACATTAAAATGAAATCTGGAACCCTGGCTGGTGTGGCTCAGTCAACTGAGTGCCAGCCTGTGAACCAAAGGTCACTGGTTCAATTCTCAGTGAGTTGGTTCCATCAGTTGTGGGCCAGGTACCCAGTTGGGGACATGCAAAAGGCAAACAAATCTCTCACACATCAGTGTTTCTCTCCTTCTGTTTCTCCCTCCCTTCCTCCCTCTCTAACAATAAATAAATATAATATTTAAAGAAATTAAATCTGGAATTGGGGTTGAGATAGAAAGCAAACTTAGGTCCAGGATTCTAAAACCTAATGGTTTCAATGGGTTGAGTTAAATGACTAATTTCAATGAGTCCTTAAGTAATTTAATGCAGGTAAAGCACTGAGAATAAGGGTTGCATGAGCAGGGAGAAGGGTCAATAAGTGGTAGTAATGGTCACAATGGAATGTGTTCTTTGACCTATCCTATTCAGGCTACTAGAAAATAAATATTGTTGATACGTAGAGAAGATATTTCTTCCTTGTATATGTTCAGAAATTCTTACACATGCCAAAGAACTTGGAAAGTTTTACATGTAAAACTGTATTGTTTTATTTTAGTTCTAGGACTATGGTATGAGAGAAAACGTTAGGACTATGCCACATTTAACATGCACCTGCTCTCACCACTTGTTTTTTACATAATGGAACTAATGAATCATAGCTATTTTTTTAATTGTTCCCCATTTATAAAAAGCAGTGACTGGTTGGGAACTCATGAAGTTATATGATTTGGCTCCTTTTCCAGGCAGATTTGTCACAGAGGATTCATGTGGAGAGGAAAAAATGATGGAAAAGATTGGAAAGACATATTAGGGGCAGACTGTGAAAGACATTGTAAGGTGCACTACTTCAGTTGCTCTAAACAAAGAAAGAACTCAGTTCTTCTGTTTCATACACTGTGCCCAGATTAGAGGGCATGGTAGGGGAAGATTAGAGACTGGTAAATCAGTTAGGTTACTATTAAGTCAAAGTAGATTTAATAAGCCTATGAATTACATTATCATAGCCATATAAATGAAAAGGAGAATTTGCAGAGAAGCAACAGAAGACTGGGCGGTGGAATAGCATCCTGAATTCTTGCAGCATTTTATTTCCCTTCTACCATCCTTCATCTCTACTTGGTTAGATTATTAATTTTTCTACATAGAACATATATCATCATGTATATATTAATTAACAAGTACTCACACATTAAAACACATTAATTTAAATATGAGTATTTCAATATATAATTGCTCAGAAGATTTTTATCAAGGGACTAAATAGGCATAAGGGAAGAAGGAACAGGCAAGGATGTAGCCTGAAGAAGGAGAACCTGGTTACAAAGTCAGTGGGCCAGAGAGCTACTGGCATCTGAAGCTCTGCAGGTATCCCTGCAGGTCTAATGGTGGCCTTGAACTTACAAATAAGTCAGAGAAATGAGAGATATTCACGAGCTTTCAGCAAATTCTCCTTTTCTTGACCTCAATCACAAACTACATGCATGTAATCATTAGTCCCAGTAGGATAAATGCTCAGCGAAATTAGTGAAGATTTAGGAACAGATCTTTAGTTGCATCTCAGAGAAGGAAAGAGATAAAAACATGCTGGGAGTAGAGACTGTAAGCCACTGTGCATTTTCTAAGAAATTTTAAAAATTCAGTTAAAAGCCATTTTACATCATTATAATTTAAATTCTATTCTTGCAATCTCATTTCAAGAAAATAGGACACATTAAATGGGATGATCTTTTTTACTGAAGAACTTGTAACAAAATGTAGTAAAGTGTTACTTTTTTTCTTGTAAACCTAAATTTTTCAAGTTTGTGATAGAACCTCATTTTTCTTGGCTTTGCTTATGTTGCTCCCTGGTGTCTGTGGGTTCTGAACTGCAGGCTGTTCCTCTGAAGTGGAGCTAGAAGAGCCCAGAGGCTCTTGTTCAACTCCAAGGTATCCACTGGATTATCAGGGAAAACTGGAATGTTCTTGGGTGCTCAGAGTCTCCCCAAGCAGAACGGCAAAATTTATAGTAGAGTACCTGTCACTCCCTGGGTCTCATTTGTGTCAAGACTCAATCCTGACTATTTATGAAGAAGGCCACAGTAAAAAGAGGATGTCAGGTAATCCTTACCGGCATTTAAACTTCGGGCTGGAACTCTCTTCTGGAGAGGCGGTTCTTGGACTTGGTAATAATACCTCCAAAATGGTGATCCACACAATAGGCATGCCTTTTTTCCTAGACACACCTAATATGTTCAAAACTTACAAAACAGGTAAGGTTGAGTGTGTGTGTGTTTGTATTTTATTGTTTGGATAGTCAAGGGAAAAGAGGACAAAAGAGACAGACTTCTTCAAACATACCAAAACCATGCCAGAATGCCCGAACTGTGTATGTGTAGGAGTCAAGATGGTTAAAAATGGGGGGTGGGAAGGTAGTGTTGAATTTTAAAATGAAGCAAAATACATTAAAGGCTTTTAAAATGTCAGAATTAAAAACATTGTTAGTAACATGCCAGCTGTCATTTTATTTCATGTGCCAGCAAACCCATTTTTGTTCAACAAAACGAAGTTGCCATGTCTTATTTGTGTAGGCGTAGTACAGGCCTTTTGTCTCTCAGCAAAGAGGAAAGTGTTGGAAATAGTATGGTTAATGGGGAAACCTGGAATGAGAATAAGTTTGTGTGTATGGTACACACACCTATGCATGTGCCCGATTCAGGAGTACATGGAGGCCTGCAAAATTGCTTTGAAAGTGAGATTGTTTTCTTAGGTTCACATTAGGGTGAGAGGTTAAATCATTGACTTAAAAGGCACACACAATTTTTCACATTTTTAAAATTGTTGTTCAAGTACAGTTGTCTCCATTTTCCCTCCATCACTCTCCCCCACCTCAGCCATCCCCACCTCTCACTCTTGATCCAAACTCGCCTTTGGTTTTGTCCGTGTGTCCTTTACACATGTTCCTGACAACCCTTCTCCCCCCATTATCTCCTCCCACCTCCCCTCTGGTTACTGTCAGTTTGTTCTTAATTTCAATGTCTCTGGTTATATTTTACTTGCTTGTTTTGTTGGTTAGATTCCATTTATAGGTGAGATCATACGGTATTTGTCTTTCACCACCTGGCTTATTTCACTTAGCATAATGCTCTCCAGTTCCATCCATGCTGTCTCAAAGGGTAGGAGCTCCTTCTTTCTTTCTGCTGTGTAGTATGCCATCATGTAAATGTAGTTTTTTGCTCTATTCATCTATGGGTTCAGCAAGATGGCGGAGGAGTGAGTGGAAGCACTGCCTCCAAGAGAAAAGGCACACACATTTGTTAAAGGGATCTTTCTTTCAAAATACTATCTCATTTAGACTTCAGAAAAACTATTAACTGGCCTGTCCACTATGGACACCTTTCCCCTACAATCAGACCATCTTTGCCACACCTCTTAAAACTGCTCAAGATCTTCTCCTTATAGCTGGATGGAGTAAAATCCAAATCCTAGCACACCTTTCCCCTCTCGGCCCCCTAACTCCACATGCTCTGGGCACTTTCATTCTCACCTGAGGGCCCTCATGTACCTACTTTGCCCAGCTGTCCAAAGAGTGTCTTCTCATCCTTGTCCCCACCCTCAAGTGTTGACTAGAATGTCACCTTTCTAATGAGTCCTACCTTGATTGACAAATTGCATCACCTCCTGCCTGTGTACTTAATGCCCTTTTCTTAGCACTTATTGACTTCTCATATATTTTGTGTGTGTTTTTTTTTCATGCCTGTGCCTTCCCCTTTGAATGTGTGCTCCCTGAGGGCTGAAACTTTTGTCTCTTCACTTCAAGAATCCCCGGTGCCTAGAACAGTACCTGACACATGGAAGACACATGGAATAAATGAATGAATGAATGAATGAATGAATGGAAAATCACCTCCTCAAAGACACCTTTCAGTCTAAAGTGGCATCATTTATTCCCTCCTGACAATCAGTTTCTATCACATTCTGCTAGTTATTTCATTTTCAGCCTCCATCTGTATGTGAAATCATCTTCATTTACCTGACTAAAACGAAAGCTTCACAAGAGCAGGGATCTTGCTATTTATTCTGTTCCTTTCTGTATCTCCCCAAATTAGGATAACACCTAAAGACTCAGACATTTTTCACGTGAATGTGTACTGCTAAATCACTCTTCAGAAAGGCTAAATCAGTTTTTGCTGCCATTAGCAATACATGGGAGCCTCTCCCACCATGCCCGTAAACTCATATATCAGTTTGACAGGCACTTTTACTTTTCAAAAATATTAATAGGGATATATATTTTTCATATATAGCTTAGCTATTTGTACTTTTTACTTTTTGTCATTGTCATCCATTTTTAAGTATTATTCTTTTTATTGGTTTATAAAAGTTTTTATATATAAAGACGTTTTTTCTTTATTACAAGTTGCAAGTGCTTATTTATAAGGTTGTGATTTGCTTTTTAATTTTATTATATGTTAGTGTAAACATTCTAAATTTTATTTGATTAAATATCTTCATACATATCTCTGATCTGTGATTTATCCCATTGCTTTTACATTTAAAAAATAATTCATCCTGAGTTCTGGAAAAAAATTAATTAAAAATTTTCTTTTTTAGTCTTGCTAAAATGTATGATATAATAAAACAATGTTATATCTGTTTCTTTTTTAAAAAGTTATTTTCCTTCCAATTTATATCACTATCTTTATTATATACTAGGTTCTCATATAGAAAGACACATTTTTCAGGACAAACTTTCCTCTGTCATTATAACCAATTGAAAACATGCTTGACTTTTATGTGGACTAACTGGGGAACCACTATAATTTTTCAACCTAGCATTTGTTTGCTTTGAAATTGTCACCTTCATCTTTTTAGAATTGGTTTGTCACTTCAGATAGCTAGCAGAACTGCGAGACTGTAATGGAAACATTACCCCTCATTCAAGCTGGATAGTATTCTTCTCCATGGCAAAGTGCTATCTTTTCCCCTGTGGGAGCCAGCAATTCATTCAAGAGCTGCATTTACCTCTACTTGCTACAAATAAATATGTGCTCATTCTTCAAATAGTACTTCAACATGATTTACCCAAGTATGTTATGCCAACTAATTTTTTTTTCCTTCTTGGTTATAATCTCCTCCCTCTCTTCCTCTCTGCAAGCATTTGTGGAGCACCTACTATGGACCAGAGACCAGCTCTTCTTGGTTCTGGGAATCCAGTAGTGAACAAATGAACAAAAAGTCTCTTTCCTTATTAAGCTTATGTTCTAGTGGGGAGAGGATGCATAAGAGGATAAAATGAAATATATATTGTATTATGTGGATGGGCTGAAGGGAGGGACATGAAATGAGGAGGGAGGGAAGTAGTATCTGGGACGTGGGTACCACGTAGCTGTGCATAGTCTAGGCAGCAAATATCTTTCTGAATAGGAGGCATCTAAATAAGTGTTATGGAATGGTACAGCATCATTCCAATAGTAGATGAGTCTGATGCTAAAAAACTGACAGTTTATTTTCATATTTTCTTAATCAGCTCTCCGAATTGTTTTAGAATCATGATTATAACCTTTTTCCCATCTTTGTCTTCAGGCTCTCAAAGTAAAGCAATCGAAGAAAGACTGATTAATATATAGGGAAAAATCAACTTTCAGATAGAAAAAGTTTTCTGTTATGGATCTTCATGATGAAATATTTTTAATAATTAGGTTAATTTTGTAGGAGAAAAATGGCATATCACCATCATATAAAGATAAAATAGTTTCCTGCCTACTGCCCTTCAGGGAGCCACGTGACACGGTAGAGTAGGCAACCATGGTATCCGACTCATGGCCCCGGGGCCGACCCTCCCCCCTCAGCACTGCAGTCTATGACTTTGGGCGAGTCACTTGAGTTTTGGAACCCTGTTTCCTCATGTTGTGAATTGGAGTAAATTTCTACCTGATGGGTACACTCTAGTAACTAATAGACAAATAAGACCCAGGGATCTAATAATTCACAGTATAGTGAATATAGTCAGTAATATTGTATTCTAATCAACAAACTTACTAAAGTACTGGGTATCGATTATTTCTACCACAAAAAAAGAAGAAATAATTATGTGTTGTGGTCGAGAAACTAACTATTGCTACAACTGCCATAATATTACCATATATAAGTGTATCAAATCAACACATTGTGTCCCTTAAATTTACACCATGTTACATTCCAGATGTATTTCAATAAAAGCAAATAATGCTTGAAAATAAATAATTCATGTGCCTAAAATAGAAAACCTACTCAAAACCTTGAGTCCTTGTTTTTTACTAGATTTGATTGTTTTTTAACAGAGGTGAATTACGTGGAAGAAAGCTTTACCCAATGATTTTTATGAGTTATAGACTGCTGGTGAGGGTGACATTTCATTCCCTATACAAGGCACTTTGGGCATAAGAATATTGTTTTCAGAGTCCAAGGTATGTTGGCCATTGTAAAAATTTATACAGTTTAAAGTCAATGCTTTTATTTTTAGAAATATTCAAAGCTTGTACATTGTGTAAGAAGTCATGTTTCTGTGGGCAATGAGTTAAGTGTGAGGCGATCGAGGTTGGTCAGGCCCAATAGAGAAACTGCTCCGTGGGCCACTGGACTGACTGGTAAACCATCCAGAATTGTGATTTCTGGACATGGCTAAGATATATGGGGTGCAAAACAATGTTTTCAATTGTGGTTGTGATTTTACACCACGAAGAGCCTTTTCTGAGGCCATAATTCTCGTGGGTCAGAAGATCTGGGTTTGAAATGTTGACTGGTTCTGGACCAGTTGTTATCTCTCTATCAGAGTTTTCTTTAGAGTGATATTATAATAATAAAAGGTTAGAATGAGTTTTAAAACAAACTACACAAATATTGGATGCTAGCATTATAAATGTAACCTCTATGGAATTCAGAGTTATCTGTCAGATTGCATTTTAGAGCATGTGATTAGTGAGGATTTTCTACTCTTGACGAGTGAGCATAGGTAACTGAAAGCTTGTTTCTCTCCTTGGCACCAAAAATCACTGCAAACATATATCTGGGGGAAAGTTCAGTAAGTAATAAAGAAAAGCATGCATATCCCATGAAAAGTTTTTTTCCCCCGAAACACTATGTTAAGAATGTTGGTTTCAGATGGAACTGTGCATGGGACCCGCATTGCCTGCATTTACCTCACATTACCTCCCATGGACCCCGGACTGTGCCAAACACAGTTCCAAGAGAGGGGCTGGTTCTCCGTGTCTTTGCACGTTTCAGGTAGAGACGTGTCAGGGACACTGACCACCTACTGTTAACTTTCTTAGAGAAGAAAATTTGCAGCTTTGATCTGAAAAGGCATATAACAAACCTTTTAAAAATTAGTTTTATTCTCATTTCCTTTTCTTTCTTTATTTCTAGGTCCAAAAGTCAGTAAAATAACCAGACTTCCTCAGAGTTCAAACCAAGAGCACGTGGCCACTTGTAACAATGTTATTCTGACCAAACCAGTAGGAATCATACAGATCCCAAGATATTTTCGCAGAACTACTAGGACATGAGGAGGACTGTTAATTATGATGAAGGAAGTATCTGAAGGATTACTTGACAGGTAGCAACCCTTAGTATGTGCCTGAAGCATTATTTTTCACCTGATCTGAAGCCTTTAATATACAAAAGCTGATTGTAAGGTTATTCCCATTAATAAATTGTACTTTTGAATTAAAGAGATCATTTATCAGGCAAAGTGGAAATTCAAATCTGAAAGAGTTTTAGAGATTAAAAAAATATATGTAGAATCTTCTAGCACTTAGTAGGTACTCAATAGGTAGTTCTTAAATTTTCAGAATTTTCCTGGAATTAAACAATAAGATAGATTTAAACAGATAAATGAAAAATGAAATTTTATGTAGTATCAATCTGAAGTAAATTTATGTGATTTTGGGGACGTTTGAGGAAATTCAGACAAGAGTAGATCCTTAACTCTAAGAGACTGCCAGTCAGAATTCAGAGTACTTTACATGATTAACCAGCCATTCACCATGGTAGGTGAATTTACTTAAAACTTCTGACCAAGTAAGTATTAGAGAATCTTTTTTAATTGTTGTCAGTTAAAGTAGAAATCTTTCTTTCACCCAAGCACAAAAAAAAACAGATATAAAAACTAAGGCAAACTAAGTCAATTACAGTGAGGCATTAAATTCTGAACAAACTAAATAACAGTACAGGCTGTTCAGAAATCATTTCTGATGTTCTTCCATCTGTGCCATGGATGCCACTGGAGGTTGTTAGCCCCTCCAAATCACATCATTCGCCTAGACATTATCAACTTCCAGATGAAAGTGACAGCCTTGGCCTGCCAGGGTCACCTGTGGGTTATGAAGGACTTGGATCAGGCAAAAAAATTAATAGGTAACTAGTCTCCCATGAAAAACTATGTTTTTGATGTTATTTTATTAAATATTCTTAAACTGTTTTATATTCAGAGTATGCCTTACAGGTGATATAAATTCATCTCTTATATGATATTGAAATAGGTTACTGTTACTGTTTTGATTTTAAAAAATTTATAATTGACGTTAACCAAATACTCCCTTCAATTAAGTTGACAACTAAACCCAACGAACTCTATGCTGCTTACTTGGGTCATACCTAGACTAAACTTGCCCAGAGATACCAAAAATAAAGGATGAATAATGCAGTTTTATACAAACATAGCATAAGAAAATTAAGACTATAACATCAATTAAGCAAAATAATATTTATAAGAAAAGGCATTAAATGGGTTTGTCAACTAGATAGTAACCAGAAACCTGATTATAGTGACAAATTTATTATTCTAAAAAAGAGAGAGAGAGAGATCTAGAGGTATGTGGATACATAAGTTCAACAGTTAAACTCTGCTGAGACTAAAGTTACTGCAGTTTTCTTGGCCTTTTCCTAATAGTTCCATAATGACGATTTCAGTCCTTGCCATTACCCTGGAGAAAAAAGGGAGAAGGGGCATGGGGAAGGATTATCACCATGGACAAAGCAAACACGTTTCCCAGAATCCTGTAGCAGGTTTAAGTTTCTTTGACCAGTTTTGCCACGCGACCACAGGGCACTGGGAGAAGGGAGATGGAAACAGGGTTTAGGCTAGTGGATCAACGGTACCCTATGCGATGGGATCTGATGGTCCTGGGTTCAAATCTCAGTTCTACCACCTGGTAGTTCAATGTCTTTGGGATTGTTCCCAAAGCTTTCTGAGACTCAGCTTCCTCATTCATGACATGCAGTAATAATATCTACCTGTTGCTTTTCATGTGATTCATGAGAATGGACACCCCACCATCACTGCCACATACTTGTACACATGGACTATAAATTCCCAGTATTCTTAAAAATACAGATACCTACTGACATAAGGTGCCTGCCCAGAGGGAGAGCATATATGGCATTTTGCTGGACTTTGGCTTCCTGAAAGTGAAAAACAACCCAGATGCCAGAGTTGATAAATCAGTCAATTGTGAAACCACTGTCACTTTTTCCTTTGGACTTACATTACCATCCCAGAAGGGAATGTTAATAAATGCAGAGCTTCCCTGGTTCCTGAGACAACTTTGCATCGATAGCATCATAGCTTCTTGTGGGGAGAGGTAGGATCTGGGCCCAGCATCCTTATAAATTATCTGTGCTTCTTCCTTTCTTGCCTTACAAAACACTTGCTGTTTGAACTGCCTCATAAGGTGGTTTTGAGAATTTAATAACAATGTATGTTAATTAATATAAAAGAAACCAAGCTTCTGCTGTGTTTCAGTTAGAAATATACATTCTTATTTCTATCCTTTAAACTGTGCTGCTCGGAAGAAAAGATTAGACTGTTGTTTCCCTATTGTCTTTCCATGCATGAGTTGTCTGAGTACCCAGTTTGGAAGAACAAAGAAATAAAGAAAGGCAGGGAGATAGTACATCAGCTGTATCAGTTATAATTCATAATGTTAATGAACTACATACCTATTCTTCTTTACTTAGAATTAGTTCTTAAAACATATGCACTACTTCCCATCTCCACCCCAGAAAGTTGTAATGATCCTATTTCAATTTTTGCAAGTAAATTTTACAAGCTCCAGGAGCTAACTCAGTGCTTGAGGTCAATAGGTTGTTCAATGAATATTTAACATTACCAAGTACTATGATTTATCCCTATAATGCAAGGGTCATTTTTTTTAATATTGAAAAATATGTGTCATATAACTAGGTCAAATTAAGAAAACTAGGTATAAATTATACACAGCAATTATACCTTTAAAGTCATACCAGTAAAAAGTAGTTAACAGATGTCATGGAAAAATGACTTCGATTATAGTTAGCAACAAAAACTTTAAAGATAGGAATAACCCTAAAATAATATATGAGATATGTCATCAAATGTAAAACTTGAAACACGCATACACATCCACCACACCCCCAACCCCCCCCCCCCAACACACAGATCAGAATAGAGAAAGGTAGCATGTTCTAATACTGGAAGACAAAATTAAAATTAATTTACCCCAAATTAATTTACAAATATATTTTCTAACAAAATTCCAATGGGAATTTTTTTTGAGACTGAGGAAGAAATTAATAATAACTTTAAAGTTTATTCTTAAGATAAATAGCACTAGCTGAAAATGTTTTTCTGGGGGTGGGGAAAGACCAGATGAAACAAATTATCAGGTATTAAAACATACTTTGGAGTAATGATAATCAAAACAATGTAGTGCTAGAACAAGAAGAGACACACAGGAGTGGACCAGAAGGGAAATCAGAAATATAGGCATTAATATGTAAATTTGGCATTATAAATCAGAGAGGAAAATAAATTATATTTTCATCATATCATAGAAGAGCGGATTAAAGAGTTAAAGATTTTTTCCTCAGCCTTTAAATGTATAAAATATAAGTAATTATTTTAACTATGGATGGAGAAGGACCTTATCATATAAAAGCAGTGAAAGAGAACAGAAAATTATCAATAAATTCCTATATAATTAAAACCTTTTCTGCTCTAACCAAAACCAAATTTAAAAAGCAAGTAAGTGGCATTTTCAATAACTCTGAGAAAAGATTAAGGTTAATTAACATAGAAAATCTTAAAATCAGTATTAGAAAAGCTCAAATCTGTAAAAATGAATGTGTAGGTCTCAATATCTTTGACTCAGCTTTGATTAAATTCCAAGTTAAAACCAGAGTCTCCAAAGCATCTGACTTTTGTTCATTTTCCAAGAGAATTACAAACTATTGACCCAAGTGATTTTGGGAACACAAAGCACTGGATTAATCATTAACCTTTTTTAACAGATAAGAAAGGTTAGAGAACATTTACATATCAGTTACTATACAATCTAAATTAAATCTTTTTATTTTGTGTCTTGTCACAATGAAGTTAATCCTCAAGCTGTCTGTTTACTAAAGAGGCAGAATTTTCCTGAGATAGCAAAAAGCTTAATAGTTCCTAGGATTATTGACTTGCAACCTTGAAACTATGAATGGTATAGCATACTACCTTTGGAAGAGTTGTTCCATTCAGAAAATACTGGATATGATCAAAGTCGAAACGGCTTGTCATAGGAAGCAGATTTAAATCATCAGCCTTCTGAGAACCCTCGACTCTAACCTTTCTAATCAACTGCTACTGGATTTAACAAGTATAAAGCACAAGTTTATTTTTTAAGTTAAAGTGAAAATGTAAAAATTTTTAAAAATAAGTACAATGAATAAGGTTTTAACCAATTAATTCTGAAATACAATTCAGGATCACTGTTTGGGTAGATAAACCCTAATAGAAAAAAGGGCAAGTTATCTAAGTGAGCAATGTAGAGGCAAATAAATAAATATGAGAAAAGTATTTAGCCTGGTTAAAACAGAACTGAGAAAAACTTTATCTAGTAAATTGACATTAAAGATTTTGGAGAATGATTACCTTTATTAAATAAAATGCAAGGTGGCTGACATTTTTGTGTTGTCACTGAGGTATAGAGTAGAGTGTGCTTTCTGGAGGGAGGTTCCAAAATTTTTCAAAAGCTAAACTTTGATTCAATGTTTCAACTTTTAGCCATACCTATTAAAAATATACTTTGCACATGTGTAGAGACATTTATGTACAAGGTATTCATTTAGCTAGTATTATTTATAATGGCCAAAAAATTTTAATGGCATATTGGTTAAGAAAAGTATTATAAATCCATAGGTAAAAATGTTATGTAGGCACTAATTATTTTCACATAACTTTTTAATAAAATTGAAAAAATTTACATGTAATATTGAATGAGAAGATCAGGATGGGAAGCTACATCATATAATTAAATATTTTTAAAGTGCTACATATAATTAAAATAAAGGTCTAAAGTTTAAGTGGATATTTCTGGAGTATAAGATTATGAGTAATTAGTTCAAAATTCTCTAAATTTTCTTTAGTCAATGAACATTGTGATCTTAAAACAAAATTATAAAAAGCAAAAGATGGAAAAAAATTGTTTTGTGCTAGAAGTTGAATTGCCGTCATGGGGGAGAACTTCATGACCACATCCTGGCTATTGGCAGTGTGCCTCAGAAGAGAGAGAACCATCTCGGAAGGAGTTCAGACTCCATCGCCTTCTGAAGGATGCCTTGGAAATCCTGGGGCAACGGGAGGCTGAACCATTGCTAATTAGAGCCAGGATTCGGTATCTCAGGAGACATCTAAAAACTATTGCCTGAACAATTTCATTTAGACTAGCTAATGGTTTTAACTTTCATGCCAATTCCTGCAACCTGCTTCTTACTGAATTGACTATGCTGTGAATACATGAAGGTTGTATATTGCAAAGGCTTGAATATACTCCCTATGTATGAGTATTTTTCTTAAGCCTGGTAACAAGAATAATTTTTTGTTCCCTGGGGCACTGGCCAGACCCTGTCACCTTCTCTTGTACTATATAGCTTTACTATCCCTATCAAGGTTATTCCAGATATTATTCTGTGTCCTAGTTGGTTTACAACCCCTCCCTAAGAACTGCTTAGACTCAGGAATCTAGGGCTTATATCTCTCTATTCTAACTGGGTTTTATTCTCTTTGATTTTCCCATCTCTATATTGTTGGGAATAGATATGGTATAAATTTGTAATTTCAAAAACAGGATTTTTCTCTCTTATTTTGCTCAAGAAACTTTGCCTTGATATATAGTAAGATTTTTTTTTTCTGCTAGTAAAACTATGTGAAGGACATTCACCTTCATTAAAATCTTGTGGTCCTCTTATGATGTTGATTGTCACATACAATGTCAGTTTGGCCATGGAAGAATTTTCTTTGAGATATTTTTTTCGTATTTCCAAGAAGTCTGTTGCTTTTTTTCATTTTTGTTGATGTGCTGGTTTAATTGTGCTGTGTTAGGAAGACTATGTGACCAAATAAATA